TGACAAAGAATTATTTTCTTTTCTGCCAACATTTATGATAATGCTGGCAGCTGAAAATGTAACAGTGGCCTGTTTGTGTCAAAAAGGACATCTAAAATAGAGAAGAGATGAATACCAGAGAAGACAGAACGTCACTGTGTTGTTTCTCACACGTTTGATACCAATATTATTTGGTGTGTTAGCAACGAAATGCTAAAATAATTGGTTTCTGAGTGGTTTCTACAACATGTTTGGCAATCAAAGGTGTGGTTTCTGTTTGGTTGTTAAGTAGTCTCAATGCAATGATGCAGCGTGTGAGTGTTATCTCTGTTATCTCTGTGTAGCACATATTATTAAAAGAAGCATGCATTCTACACATTTAGTGTGCAATAGCTTGTGTCTGGAAGATTTTCCTGCACGGCCACATTTAGCGCATTTATTTTATTTACATTTATATTCTGTCCATAAATGCATCCAGAACCACAATCAGTGAAAATGTATTTACCCCTCAGGAAAGTGTATGCTTGGCACATCAGATCAAGGGCGCATTTCAAGACGGAATCGCTTAAAAATAACCTAACATCCCAGGATCAAATGTGATTACCAAGTCTTTCATGCTGGGCCAAGCTAAACATAACAATACAACCTGATTAGCAAGCCGCTATGGTGCTGTTTCCCCAGATTCCTTTGTTGGTTTTCAACTTGCCACTTAGAAACCAGAAAGAAAAGAAAAGGTAGAGGAATTTGTTTATTTCATGCACAAATGACACCCGTTCAGTACAATCAGATGTGTTTTTGAGGACGCATGTGTTGATGCTGCCTTAAATTTTGGCAGTAATTGCACATATGCAATGAAATACAACAAAGAAATGACTAAAAATGGAAAGTGACCTTTAATAAAATATGTAAGCCACAGTGAATGGATGGATTTCACTATACAGTCCTCAAGTTTTCATGCTTAAGTATTAATGACAGCACGTGTTTGCTATGCCCCTCCCAGGAGTAAGCCTTGCAGCCAATCAGGAGGATGAGACAGACATGGAGACATTTCAGATGGAGATTGACAAGGAGACCAAGAAGTGTACATTCCGCACCAGCCAAGGAAACTACTGGGATCTGGTGGCCCACGGAGGCATCCAGAGCACTGCCACTGAAGTGTAAGTCAATGCTCTTTTAGAGTGAAAGCATCATCAGGTGTCAGTTCCACATTTTATACTACAGAAATGGGTTCACAAAAGGAGCTGTTCTGCACAATTACAGTATGACAGTTGTAATCTCACTATCAAAACATGAAAGGTGCTTTATACGACATTCAGAGCATTAATATAGCAGCAACCATTTGCTATGTAAACATATATCGTAGTAAAGGCGTCCTTAGCAGAGAATGAAGTCACGTTCTATGTGTGTTTATCCCACGACTAGCTAATTACAGCTGGTAATGCTGTCCCAACCCACAGTGGCAGTGTCGGCCAGCGGGTCAGCCAGCCATGTGCAGGCAATCTCAGCTCAGACTCTGAATCACAGATATGCCCTGAATGTCGCATACAGCTCCTTTAATTGTTGCCTTTAATCACATGCAGCCCTCTACTACTCCACATAAACTTTGACCTCTGAGCCCACAAGATATAATTGTAAATAGTCATCATGATTACTTTAAAAGAAATAAAATGAATTTTATGACTTAATGGCAAATATCTAATGCAACATTATTAAAATATAATGCAGTCATGAAATTTTTATATAAATCTATTGAAAACAGTAGTGATTGACAACTAATGAAATTAATAGGGCTGGTTGAATGCATGTATGAGATGACAGATAATAGGTAATAGCGATAAACAGATTTGAGTACATGATCTCAAGCACGGAAACGTGTCTTGGCAAATCTGATTTTAGGGAAACTACTCTTTTGTACTTTAGTTTACCTTTTTTTGTTTTGCATGTGCATTCAACATGTGATCACAATATTTACAATGGTGGAAATCAACTAAGTATGTTTACTCAAGTATAGTACTTAAGTACAATTTACTGGCTTACTTTGCAAGTATTTTATTTTAGTTGCTTTATATGGTTGTTTACTTCTCTACATTTCAGAGGGAAATGTTCTTTTAACTCCACTACATTTATCTGACAGCTGGAGTTAAGTTACTTTACAGATTAAAATTCTACAAACAAAACATATGATCACTTATAAGTAAGAAAAGTCTGATTTCCTCTCCTGTGATGCCCAACTACAGGTCAGCAAACACCATGTTTTCAGTGGAGTGGCTCGGCCACAAGGTGGCACTGAAAGCTAACAATGGAAAATACATCTGCACCAAGAAGAACGGTCAGCTCCTGGCTGTCAGTGATTTCACAGGTGAGAGACAATGTTAGGTTTTGTCCTCCTCTAATCATCTTTTCCCTAATTCACCTCCTCCTTCTGACGTGTCCTCATGATTTTTTTGTCACCCTTTTATCAGGCGAGGATGAACAACTCACTTTAAAACTGATCAACCGACCCATGCTGATCCTGAGAGGAGAGAACGGATTCATCTGCCACCACAAGAACTCTAACACACTGGACGGCAGCAGATCGGTCTACGACATTTTCACACTGCATTTTAGCAATGGGGCGTACCACATTAAAGGTCAGGGTGTGCCCACTCAAACAAAATCTATATGATCCCAGCTTCTTCTTTGCTCCCCAACTCTATGAAAAACTTTACTTGATCACAGTCCTGTTAGTCCACTCTGCATCACTGACACCCTGCTGCTGCTCTCCCCTTTGTGTTCTCAAACATTTAGGTGTCAATGGGCGGTTCTGGTATGTGAACAGTGCTGGGCTGGTGTGCTCAGACGGTGAGGTCCCTGAGGATTTCACTCTGGAGCTCATGGAACACGGTCGCCTCGCCATCCGTGGCAAGAACGGCAAATACCTGCGTGGAGACCAGGGAGGCACGCTGAAGGGAGACGGACTCACCCTGAGCAGCTCAGCCCTTTGGGAGTATTGACACAATCCAATATTAGTCCTGACTCTGAATCCCCATCGTCGAGTTGATCGGCTGCTATTCACCAATCAAAAGCCAGCATCAATACTTTATTAAGTTAAACCCTGTGGCACTTTGAAGTGAAAGACAGTTACAGCTTGTCCTGATTTCATCCCACTTTTCTCTCCTTCCTGTTCCAAAGAGGTGGCAACAGAGACTTGCAACAGATTATTGACTCATACAGCAGGAGAAAGAACTGACCACATTCAGCCAAGAAAGTGATGAAGTGAACAATGTTTTAAGTCAACTTGATCATGAAACAGCAAAAAAATTGTGTGAATGAACTTTAGAGTTTCTGTGTTGATCCTTAAGTTGTTGTTGTTTTTCACTGAGCATGAGCTGCGAGATTGAATCATTGTCTGAAACTAAAATACAGATAAAAAAAACATTCCTCCATCTTAGTAAAGACATGTAGATTTCTCAGTATCCTTCAACCACTGCAGATGTCAAACCAAGCAAACTTTATCTTTTCATGTCATCGTTTCTCCTCGTCTTTATCTCTCCAGCCTGTCTCCCTCTCCCTACAGGTATTACATTACTGACAGTCTAACAAGTGCAACAAATCGGGGTGCCATTTGAGACAGACGAGGTCCCCATTACAAGAGAGGTCACCTTTTAGCAGTCTTTAGGATGGTGCTGGTGTCTGGGGACGTATATTAGCAGACAAGAATGATTGGGTTTCTGGTCGTCAACTGCAGAAACAGTAGAAGACTGTAACCGAGACTCATGTACGTGGTAGCTGTACTAATTCCAACTTGTAACTGGAAGTGGATGGACTTTGCATTTGTCTCTCTGTTATGTTTTACTACATTTCCTCTTTCTTTTATGAACATAAAGATTAAGAAAATACATTTGTATGCTTGTATGTTCTGTTTAAGTTATGTCACATTTCTACCACGATCACAAACAGGAATTGGGTCCAGTTTGTGTTATAGAGACTAGCTGGTTTACTGTCATCCTGCACCATCATCGCTACATGGATCCATGTGGGGAGATCAAATTCCACTGATGTCAGTCTGTATAACTTCATGTTTCCTCCTCTTGGTTTGTTTGTAAAAAGCCAGTATGAACATGAACTGGACCAGAACTATAAGACAACAATGTATGATTTTTTTCAACCTTGATGTGCAAGAGCTCCAGATGTCAATAATTCACAACACACAAGAATGTAAATGCTTGTGTTATATCTTTGACTGCAGGTAAACAACACCACTAGAAGCTTAACGGTTCTAACATTCAGAGCATTAACATAGCAGCAACCACTGACATAAGTGGCAGGACCATAGCCTGTAGAGACAATGGACGTAGCTACCATGAAATCACCCACTGGTTTGTGGACTCCTGTTTCAAAACATTGAGTTTGGCATTTAGACTATCGCCATCTTGGTTTTTTGGAGCCAGAAGTGACCAAAGTAGTGCTGTGAAGGAGCGAGGGGTGGATCTGACAGAGAGGCCGATAACCCCCCCAGGCTGTAAACATGTTTATTTCTGCTGTAAAGTTGTGCATTTTAACATGAGAGTCGATGGGGTGTGACCTGCTTCTGCAGTCAGCCTCAAGTGGCCATTAGTGGAACTGCAGTTTTTGGCACTTGTGTGTTGGCTTAAATTTTCAGCCACAGAGGTCCCATTTGGGCAGGTAGCAAGGTAGCGAAGAGTAACACCCATGCCCTGGTCCCCTCCCTGGTTAACACCATTAGGATTGTCAATACTATTACCATTGTTAACACTATTCATGCTGTTAGCTCCGTTAGCTTCTAGCCGCCAGCTCAAACACCTCCATGTTGAGAGCCGTGTGCAGGCAATCCCGGCTCAGACTCTGAATCATAGATATGCTCTGAATGTTGCATACAGCTCCTTTAACATCAGTAAAGAACCATACTCCTCACGAGTTGTTCCCAACCATGGTCCCAGGATAAATAGGGGATAAGACAGAATATTTCTGTAATTTCTTTTATTTTTGCTTTCTTGTGAAATACTTTCACCTTTCTAGGGCCCATAAAAATCATTCAGTAACAGTCTAAGAGGGAAAAAACACTCTTTGGTTGAACTGCAGGGGATACATCCTGCGATTAGGGATCATAAAGAAACATTCCTTCATTTATGGGGTCACAAGCCAAAAAAGGGGAACCAGTGCCCTACAGTCATAGTGAATCCAAAGCACAAAGTCCACTTCTCACCTCTCAGTAAAAATTATCAGCAGATTATATACAATGTATTACATGTAAAGGTACATATAGGTAGCAATGAAGCCTGCTGCCAAAGTGTCTTATTATATATTATTGCTGATGCTGTGTCTGTGGCATTTAGAGATCTGTAAAGAGGCAGAATCTTTAGCTCCTCTGCAGCAGAGGAGTTTCTTCTTCATCCCTTGGAGGAAACACTGCAGGTGTTTCCCAACAGGACTTTGAGGAGCATCCTCAGGTCAGCATCTACTGGTCCAGAGAATTGTCTGCAGAGGATACCAGGGTCTACTGATATATTGTTAAAGTCATGTTTCATCTTTGTCGAGGACTGTGAAAACAGATTAGCTACTGTTGAAGCAGAGGAGGAGTTTTTTTCTTCTAAATCACCCCATCTCCTTCATCTGATAGTGCTGATTCATTGCTGCTGAGGTTTCCAGGGTCCACTGGTATTTGTCATTTGGAGCAGAGGAGGAATTTCCTCTTCATTGTCTGCGATTGCCGAGATTCATTACTGTTTCAAGGGTCCACAGTTATCTGCCATGTAGGAGCCCTACAAGCATCAGGGGTCAGCATCTGTACAGGAAGCAAACATCACTCTGGTCTGACACTCCAAATGCCAGGACCTGCTGCTGCTTCGGACATGTGGAGACCAGCAGCTTACGCAGTTTACACCTGGATGCGAGAAGGTGTTGCTGTTTCTGTGACTAAAGTAGTCGTTCCTGATGTTACAAGAACAGGACCATTAAAGTAGAAACTGCTGCATGTCTCAGGCACATCAGGGTTGAGAGGGGTCATGCAATGTGACTACAATTACTGTAGGGCCCTCTGGAGGAGATGTTAGGTTTCTACATGATAACCTTACTGGCACAGACTAAATCCTCTCTCACCCACCCTAACCTTTTACCCTCTTGTCTTATTGCACAGACACACAGCAGTCCAGAGGTTTTAGGTTTTAGGGAGGTTATCCATCACCAGAACGCTCCGGGTTCAATCCCTAAAATAACTGTGATGTCTATCCAGTCTTCAATGTCCAGTCAGTTTTCTCAGGTATGTCACTCTAGCTTTAATCCCTCAAAACTTAATTGGTGCTGTGCTGAAGAACATTTGAATCCTTTCCTTAGACAACCCTCTGCTCAGGAAAAAAACCCAGAACATGTGCGTACACTTGTCTCCAGCACCACCTTCAAGAACAACTCTTACACAAGATGCCAGGTCGAGTGTCACTGTTACACCTACATGTCTGACACTTCAGGAGACCGTGAACCAGCGACCTTCAGCAGGGTATAGGTCACAGTTTTCCCATTTGGAGTGTAATTGCAGATATTTTTACTCCATCTGAGCTCCTCTGTCACCTTCAGTTGAATGCAAAGGTTTTTAAAGTGAGGTTGAGCTGAAACACACGACTTACAAAAAATAGGGTGATCATTACTTTTTACAGCATGTACAATATGTACAGTATAATGATGGCAAATAATAAGTCACAAATTCTTCTTTGTGTAAAATATAAAATGGTAACAGTCATTTACAGTGATGTAAAAGCACATTCACAATAACAATGACAATTATGGACATTATTTTTCATGCATCGGCTGCAAAGAGATGTTATATAACACCGGACACGGCCGAGGGCAGCTGCGTGGGCTCGGACAGAAAAAGTGCTAAATTATGAGGAGAGGGTTTTCTCTGAGCGCCCGGTAAACACTGAGAAGAGATCGGTCCGTCTGCCCTGTGGACACGCCTACGCCGAAGGCCCCCGAGATTAGACTTTGGTCAATCTGCCGTTGCAGGTGCTGAGATGAGAAGGAAGGAAAGAAAGCAAAGAGCTCAAGAATATATCAACATACTTTAGATTTAAACACAACAGAGACAATTCTGACAAGCTACTGGGTGCATCTCTGTGGTCTCGTGAATGTTTTGGGCAGAATGTGCAGGTCACTGTAATGGCATAACATGGCGTTGGATGATTAGGTGATAAGAATAACTGTTAGTAGACGTAGGTCTTACCTCGGCCCGCTGCAGTGCTTGTCTTAAACCTAAACTCTGGACCGTCTTTGTGGAAGCAGCCCTCTCAGGAGCCCTCTGCAACAGAGTCTGAGTGAGGGAACAGAGCAGACAAACAGTCTGAAGTAATTTTGATTAAATTGTCACGTCTGCATTTAAAAGTAGGGACACACATAATTATCAAGCCTGGTGAGACCATCTGAGTCACGTCTGTCTGGGAGAGTCTGCTGTAGTTGGCAATTCTGAAAATAATAAAAGTTTGATTGTGTGACTAATGTTGTAGTGTGCACTTGAGACTGAGATTGCAGCAGTTTTCCGTAAGTGATGACAGCTGAGTTTGCAATAAGAGACGAGAAAGACAAGAAATATCAACCTTGATCTGGATTGTACTTCATCAAAAACATCCATAACATCTGTGTCAACCAGGCGTGTAAATCACTAGTTTCTTCAGGATACAGGATGTTATTAAATGAAGTCTTTAGACAACAATGTGATATTTGCTGATATCGCAACGTTCTGCCACAGTACAATTTTGATCCGATTGAATTCAGGGGTCTGCGATCGACATGAGACGATATCAACTAATATCCTTTTTGTCTCTTCTTGGCCGCTTACCATTATCTGTCTGGTGCTAGGCCGACAGCACCGCCTGAATGTTTAGGACAGGGAAGTGTTTGGAAAGAACTGATGACAGAGATATGCCATGGGAATTTCAAAATAAAGGCATATCTTAAAGATGACAATATGTATCTGTTTTCTCTTTGTATTGATGATACTGAATCAATGATAACTGAATTCGCTATATTGATCCAGATCGTACCGTTACACCCAGAGTGTCAAGTAAGGATGAAACACTTACTTTACGGGGCTTACGCACTTTGAAAAACTCGCAGGGTACAGCATGCAACTTGGGTTTATTTTGCTGTTCTTTTGTTGGGGCTGTGTTACATTACTTACATTACGTTACTCTTTAACTGCCTGGAAAACACTGGGTGACGCTGGGTGCCCCAACTTTCAAGAGCGGAGGCAGGCTGTGTCTGAAGTTGCCAAGCAACTATAGCCAGCACTGTATCATAGTCTACTTACGAGAAAAGTTATCTTACTCTACTCCATCTAACTCTAATCTTACTTATCTGCTGATCAGATGTAAAGCTTTGGGTATCCCTGCAATAACATGATCAAAGTCTCCTCCATATTGACCTTGGACTGATAGTTTTCAAAGAAAGGAAAGATGTCTGCCAGCTGTGATTGGTTATTCCTCATCACATGACATGCAGTGTGTGTTGCTGCATTCCAAAAGTTGAACTTTAAAGGCCCTTTGGAACACCTGGGAGTTGAGACGGTGTCACTTTTGCTTTTGAGCGCGTCTTCCACACGTAATGGATTTGAGGGCCCAGAAAACTGGGCATGTGTACGGGCCATTAACAGAGTGGCCATGCAAACCCAGTAATGCTACTAGTCCGATGTCCCCATCAACAGTGACACAGACACTAAAGCAAGTATTTCAAAGACAGGCTATCTTTAACATCGATTCACATTTCATATAATGATTCTGGTCACTATGATTGGGATATGAAGTATAATATCATTTCATTTCTGAAGTCAAGCATAACAAACATGTTGGACAACATTCAAGTTTCTCTTAAAATGCTGGAGAAGCAGGTAGTCGGTGTTTGTACCTGTATCCGGCGCAGCACAGCATGGTGCAGTCCACACACTGCTGCAATAGACAAGCTCTCAACCTGAACCTCCACTGTGGCCAGGGACTCCTCCTTCCTCATGCTCTCCTCCCCTACATTCACCTGGACAACAAAGAAACAACTTTTCGTCAAATAATCAAAGATAAAATAAACTTTAATCAATCTGATATTAGATCATTCTTTACCTCTTTTGCAGTCAGTTTGACAGTGTGTCCATTTGGACCTCGAGCATGGACCACTGAGGTGCTGAGTGCAATCTTGTTTCCTTGATGTCCTGTCTTCACTCCTCCACAACCTTCACACAGCAGCCACTCCAGCAGAGAAAGGCAGACATTTTGAGGAGCCACGTTTGGCCCCTGCACATCCAAATCTGAGCTTTTCAACACCAGTGTATCCCTCAGTAACTCTGACGACACCCGTATACTTGCTGAATTTTGCTCTTGCTCAGGCTTTGAAGCACTCTCGCCTCCCTCCCCTCGTCCACCGCACCTAATCCGGTTTGATCTGATAAAAGCTTGGATGGTATCTGTTGTGTTGCTGGATTGAGACGTGGCCTTTTGATGGGCAGCTATGGGACTGTTCACCTGCAAGGCGTGCAACCAATCCACTGTCAGTGTGTTCAAGGGCAAACTGATGCAACTATTCTGCATCCCAGGTAGGTCTGCAGCCTCCTCTCCCAGGAGAGCTGTGAGTGAGAAGATGAGTGAGCAGCTCACTGTCACAGGGAGGGATGTGTCATCTGCAGCTGCTAGAGGCAGCGACACCTCTAACTTCTCCCCTGGATGGAGATTGTGGAACGGAAATAAAAAATTTGTGGAGGAGCTTCCCCCCCCTGCAGTGGGAGGGTAGGACAGAGGGAATACAGCGATGCTCAGCATCCAGCCTTGTTCTAAAACATAAGGACTTGAGTTATCCAGGACACATGTCAGGTTCAGGGAGTCTTTTTGGAGCAATCTGCTCCAGCTGGTTATGCCATGACATCTGATGGGCTTCTCCTGGATGGGAAGATGCTCTTCACTGTTTGTACTGGCTATCAGCAGGAAGCTGATGTTTAACACCTGATTCAGGTGCCTCAGGATGTGGTTTTTGGATTTGATGGCAGTTTTCAGCAACGATGCTCTAAAGGAAAGGATGGAAAATATATCTATGTCAACAGATGATATTAAAGCTGTAATTTGTAACTTAAAAAAATATATATTTTCTTATATTTGCAGAACCTGTCACTATATTCACACAGCACTAAACGAGACAGATAATCTGTGAATAAAAGTCATGTTCCTCTGCCTCCTACTACTTCTAATTACATTTAAAATAATCCGCTGCACATGAATGCCAACAACCAATCAGAGTCGAGGAGTCTCAAAACGCAGCTCTCAATCTGATCAAACTGTCAAACTAGGCAGCGCTGATCAACAGGGGTGGTCGGTATGGGCCTAAAATAATATCACAATATTTCAGGGTATTTTTGCAATAACAATATTATTGCCAATATGACAAATTAGTAAAATATATATATGTATTTTCTACTATTATTATTATTATAATTTATTATTATACCATTATAAGAATTCAGAATAGCTGCAAAATAAGTGACACAGTTTCACATGTCACCGTAACAGTTTACCTTTAAATATTCAGTAAAAAAAAAAAAACTAAAATAATTTGTCATTTCTTTAGTTTGTGAACAACACCAGTAACTCAGAGTGAGATTCAGATTCTGTATACAATATTAATAGTTCAACTAAATAAAATCCACCACAAATTACACATTTAAACAGCTCCCAAATACAAAATAAAGAACCCTGGGATCTGTATATATAAATCAAAAGGTGATTTCCTTTTCTATTAGTAAAATCCTAAATGATTGAGTTGTGTTTTCCCACCTGGACCTTTATGCTCTGCCATTTCTCCACTAATCATCACGCTGTAACCTGTGACAGGCTGTTATACTGCCAGAACTATCGCACATTCACATGTACGTAGTTTTTCGTCGAGTCACAAGCGTCATGTAGGTTTACATTACCAAATTTTTATGACAAAATCACTTGACGTCACCAACTCCCGTGTGTAAATGGCAAGAGAATGCTGCTGCCAGAGGAGCTGCTGAATGAGTTCCCTCTGAGTGGTAAATCGCTAAAAGAATCTGAGAAGTCCGGGGCCTAATGATGCCACAGTTTATTCAACATTACTAAAGCAGCTCCTCTTTTGGGAACCACCACGGAGTCAGTAATATTTTCGCTTTCAGCTATGCTTGTTGTTGCCGTGGGTAACAGTATGACGTTAATATGTCAGCAAGTCGAAATATCCCAAGTATCACAACATGAATTTTTCATATGATATTAAAAATAATAAGGTATTAGCGTGAACTAGATGATATGGCACACCCCTACTGATTAAATATAAATCAAGATTCTGTCACTACATTATTTATTTCACACCTAAAATGTTTTTATCATTTTGGCTTAAATGTTTTGAAAATGGAGGCTGGGTCACAAACACTCTCATTTTACAGCTAAACAGTACACTAAAATATGTTTCTGAAAACATTTGAGATGAGACATAGGCAATGCAGTGACAGAATCTTGATTCATATTTGACAGTCTGACTGCAAAAGACTCAAATGCACTGTAACATGCACTACTGTCAGGATATAGTCACAGTTTCAACAAATATGCCAAAAAGTTATTTTTATAAAAGTTACCAATTGTAGCCTTAACTAGAATAAATGTCTTCTGTGCTGGGTGTACCTTTCACAGACGTCCCCGATAGCAGACAGGAGGTCCCTGATGCTGCGGCCGGCCTGTGTGGACGGCACCTTGGACAATCTTGCATCCTCTCGACCCACAGGCAAGGTAATCTTATGGAGCTGCCCTCTGACAGACAGCCCCAGCAGCTGAACCTCACCTGGTTTGTGAGGGCAATGTCCAAAGTTAGGACAAAAACAGAGACTTAAGAATCCACTGTCACATATGTCCACCATGTACAATCGTTGTGTGAACTCAAAGCAATGGCTGACAGAGAGAAACTGTTGCACGTTGTCATTTTTAAAGTCAACACTTTAATGCTAGACCTGCTTACCTGCAGTGTTGCATGTAGGCTCAGCCAAGGCGACCACTCTACACACATTTAAACTGGTGGGGCTTTGGAGGGCGGCGTCGGTCTTACTAGTTGTCTCCTCATTCCTCTCTTGGCCTTCTCTCCCAGATGATCCCTCTGATAGATCCAGTACCAGCAGGTCTGACCCGGTGCTGTAGTAAAGACAGCTTTTATCCACACAGCCACACATCACAGGCCCTGGCACACACCCCTCAATAAAACTAGTTCTGCTATCCCCTCCCTTGTCCATTCTGATCAGCACCACTCTCCCTAGTTCACCCACTGCCACCAAACACTGTGCATGTCGTAGACCGGTTTCCACGACGACAGATGCTCCGACAAATACAATTGGCTGCTCAAGGCTGTGCAGGACTCTGAGCTGTGACCCTGGGAGACGCAGGGGGAAGAAATACAGGCACCCATCAGGCAGGCCACAGAGGATAACAGGGGATTTGGCAAGGGCAGTGTCTACTCCAAACAGAAGTTTGAAGAGGACCGGCTCGAGGCGGAAGTGGTCGTCACTTAAAGTTGCCTCTGATGTTGGTGTTGCATCACTACGGTAGACACAAATCAGCACAGGCCTCCTTCTCCTTCCCGTTTGTCTCTCTGTGTCATTGTGAACAAGTCCTGAGACCACTCTGGATGAGGTGAGCATCTCATAATTTGAGGATTGGTACAGAGTCAACATCCAGGTTGTGTCTCTATGGGTGAGAGTCAGGAGTACAGAGTTGACGTGAAGCAGTGATGACACACCTTCTTCTGAAACAACCAGAGACTCGGAGGAGACTTTTAGCTCAGCTGGATTGGAGGATGCATCAGCCGGGGAGCTTTGAGCTCTGCAGAGGTAAAAGGTCACATAAGTAAGAGGCACTGACAGGAACTAACTGTTGATCTACAATACAATTGGACCACCTGCATGAAGGTTCATACCTGGACAGCAGAACTTGTAGACTGACACAATAAACTCCAGTCCTACAAGCTACATAGAGGAGCTGCTTGTCATGACTCTCAACCAGGTCACTCACAGGACCAGGGAACTGGAGGACAGCCTGCAACAACACAACACATAGTAAATGTAGTTACACAGTTACCTTAGCAGTTATTTAGCTTTGCGGTGTAGTTATGACGCCTAATAAATATAGGTTACTTACCGTGAGTTTTCTCTCCTGGGTGAAGACATAGACCTCGTCGCTGCCGGTGCAGAGGAGCACATTTGTCCCAAAATCACGCTTGACCCTCGGCGAGCATGATGGTCCTGAAACGCCGAACTCTGCCCAAGTCTCAACAGCACAGCGTCCGTCCATGGCCACAACACCAGCGAAGAAGAAGGACGAGTCTGCATATGTAACGTTAGATACACCGTTAGCCGAGTTAGGTAAATAAATTAAAAACCTGTGGCAAAACTGAAGAGGTAATCCTGAACCGGTTGTTGACAGTGGACGGGACGGGAAGCCCTCACGAAGTTCCGCGCGTTGCGTTTTGGACCAATAAGCGTCAAGAACTACATTACCCATGAAGACAAAAACGGAAGTGTGATGACGTTGTCTTTTTTTTAAGTTTTAGAGTAATTAAGAGTTGTTTTTGTGTTTGTTTTGTTTTTTCTTTTAACCCTTTGAAACCTGGAGCAAATATTTTTTTCTTGTGCTGCTTTCAGACACCTTTCACAATTATTTAAACCTTTGATAACTGATTAATTGGTTTGATTTCTTCAATCAGCAATTTGGCATAAAATGTCCTGCAAATTCCAAAAAATTAGGTGACAAATAAAATACCTGAGAATTAGCTAAAAAATGAGAAAGAGAGATTTAGAAAATTATTATTTTTAAAAAAATCGGGGAAAATGCCCCCAAAATTATATTTATAATAATAAAATAATTATGCATATACATCTACATATAATTAGTTGGGGTTTTTTTTGCTCCTTTAACAGGTAATTTCCTGTTTTTGTTGTTTTACTTTCCTTTTTGTGTGCTAATTTTCACTTCTTTGGTAACTTTTTACTAATATCTTGCTCATATTTGGTTCATTCTCATTGCTTTCTTTCCATTTATTTGAGAGAAATCAAGCCAATTTGCAAGGGTTAAAAAATTCTTTATTCAGTAACAAAATCAGGCCACTACAACATCAAATTGAGAATAAAGAAATGTCAGGCTGAGTATAGACCTGTAATGGAAAATAAACAAAAAATAAAAAAATAAACTAATAATAAGGTAAATATAAAAAAAATAAAAGGGTCGGATGTCTAACTGGGGAATACTATAAATCTTATTGATAGATTGTTGTTGTTTTTTTCAGTAAAATATTCATCTTTAATCAGTAACAAATTCTGGCCACTACAACATCACGTTGAGAATAAAGAACAACAGCAGATTTCAGGCTGAGCATAGAACACTCTTGGAAAATAGATAAATAAAGTAAAATAGAAAATAAATAAAAGGGTCAAATGTCTAATCAGAAAACAATATATGAATGTTACCTGTAAATATGCTTGGCTAGTTTTTTTTTTCATACATTTCAGTGCTTCTTGAACTCATTCATGAAGACAAGGAAAACTGATCTGGACTAAATAAATCTACATCTGCTAATAAAATGTTTAGCCATAATGATCAAGCTATTGTACATAATTTCCCTTTTTATTTCCATCATAATCACACCAAATTTGATATTATATTCCTAATTGGGGGCTTGAAAGTCCTTTTCTGATATGCAAATTTTAAACAATCCTCCAAAAAATAAAGAAAAAAAAGATAGTTATAATCTCCCAAACACAAAACACACAGTTGTTCAACTTTGAATCTTTGTCTTGGAAAAACATTGCAAGCATTAATGTCATTTATCATTTAGAAATTAGCTTCTTAGGTGTTTGGTGAAACAGTGACAGTGAGGTATCTGGTCTTAATTTTAATTATATAGGATAATCTTTTGATATAATTTACTTTTTAATGGTAAAGCGAGGAGTGCCATGATGAAGGTGCCCCATATACGTTTTTTGTGCATTTCTTCCAAGACAAGTTCATCTATATATACAACTGTGGAACACCTTCATAAGGTAACGTGCCTTTTACCATATTCACTAATACCCATGGAGTCGCCTTGATAACCACTGGAAATGTCCCTTGGAGAAAGTAAAAGTTTGCAAAACATGAACACTAGGTGGCGCACCTGTGCACTTTACATGTTGTCGGGCCACAAAGAGGGAGAAGAAGAAGCTATTGGACGCTCGTGGTCTCCATCCACCAATCACAACGGTCGATGTGAAAATTTGCGAAAATTTGAAAACACCCTTTAGCTCGGTGGCTTCAGGTGGTGCTGCTACACTGGTTCAAGCTAAAGTAACAGTTATTTTAACTCTAAACAAAATGGAGCAGCTCAACGAGGAGGACATTAAAATGTATTTTTATGAGAACAGACTGAAAACTTTCGAGGGGTGGCCATTCGACGAAGACTGCTCGTGCACTCCGGAGAACGTGAGTTTAACGTTGGAAACGGTTAACTTTTGCTACGGCTAACGCTAGCTAACACAACAACAGTTAGCTCTAACGTTAGCTAAAGAAAATCGATAATAATTTAGCTTAAGTGTTATCACCAGCAGATAGTCACTCTGAATCTTTATTTTAATTTAGAGTAAAGTTGTCACTAGAGTGCAACAGTTATATGTTAGCTTAAAGTACTGCAGTAAACTTTGTATTTGCAAGTGGTGATGTTACGCGTAAACCTTGAAGGTATATGTAACTGTTAGGTGTCAAATGTAGGTACTCCTATTATAAAGGCTGCTCTAATTTGAGGTCACCTAACAAAGCAACTGCTGGAGAGATTATTAATTATATTAGCTATGATTTTGAAGGATATAATAATTATGATTTTGAACTAATAATGTTGCCTGCATACCCTGGAGTTCAGACACAGGATTTAATCAAGTTAATTATTATAGCTAACTGTAACTCGTGTTTTTTTCATAGTGGACTGAATTCCAAGTTCTGTTTTCAAATAATCAAGTAACCATTTAGTTAATAAAAGTTCAGAAAATGGTTTGAAAATGGCCAGACACAATTTCCAAGGTTCCAAATCTGACGTCTTCAAGTAGCTTGTTTTGTCCAACAGTTCCTAAATTGAAAGATACTCAATTCACAATCATTTAGAGCTGAAAAGAGGAGCAAATTGTCACATTTAAGAAGCTGAGACCAACAACTGACATTTTAGAGCCTGCACCTTATCATTCTTTTCATTATGGATGAATGTGCTATTTTCTCCACTAATCATTTGATCCATAAAATGTCAGAAAATAGTGTGAGATAATAGTGGAAAATGCCCATCACCATAACCCAGACTCCAAGGTGACATTCTCAAATGTCATTGTGTCTGACAGACAACCCAAAACTCAAAAATATTCAATTCACAATGATGGAAAACTAAGAAAAGCAGCAATTCTTCACGTTTGACCCGTTGGGCTTCTGCTTGAAAAATGAATTAATTAATCAAAATAGCTGTAGATTAATTTTCTGTGGATCTAAACTGCTTATTGTTGCAGTTGTGGACATTGTAGCTCGGTAATAAAAGATTTCTTGACCAATGAAGTGGTTGTTTATTACATTTCAGTCTGCCAAGTCATCATTTCAGCATTATATACAGCTGCATTGTTTTTAAAATGTGGTCCCTCTGTTCATTTGTCTCCCCAGATGGCCAAAGCTGGCTTCATTCACACCCCGTCAGAGAACAGTCCAGACATCGCCATGTGTTTCTTCTGCCTCAAAGAGCTGGAGGGCTGGGAGCCAGAGGACGACCCACAGTAAGATAACCACATTACTAGGCTCATGGGTCTGAAATGCAAATAAAAGGACAGGAGATATATGCAGCTTTATTTCTTTATCAAATTGTGTTTGTCTTATTTTTCTAATTAGTCTAAATGTCTTGAAAAGTAGGTTGGTTCCATAACAAATGTAATATGACTCAGCAGGGTAAAAGGACACATAACTCACAACAAGCAATGGCACAAGAGAATCATAAAAACTAATAGCAAAGTAACAAAGTAGGTTGTAAAGTAAAGTAAAGTAATAAAATAAAGGAGCACTCCAGCGACAAAGTAAGGGGGCTTGTGAGAGACAGACTTAACAAAGAATGGTCATAGACAAAGGCATCTCAACCTTTTTTTCTGGCTCCCTTCATTTCCCATAGTGCAATGCAACATTTTTTCAAACCCTCTCTGCCTGGTAAACAGCCACGTTCAGTTTGTAACACAGACTTTGTGCTGAAAATTTGTAGTCTCCGAGACATCAAAGTTATTTTCTTAGATGTCAGATCTTCAGAAGACATATACGACTGTTTTTGCAGGCTGAGTGGTACTCCATGTTACTAATAAACTAAACTTTTTGATGATGACGTATCAGCCTTTGGGCCTTCTTCAAGATCAGTAATCATACTGAGACACAGGTACACTGATCTGTTATATAGGCCACACCTTTGTCACACAGCTGGTAATGATTGTGAAGCATGATGACAGCTGTCAGCTGTGGGACTGTCTGTATGTGACTCTGTAACTTTTTCAACCTGATGATGTAGCATGATCATCTTATCATTACTAGCTGTGTGACAAGGGTGTTGCCTACGTAACAGATCAATGTATCCATGTCTCAGCATGATTCTTGATATTGAAGAAGGCCCAAAGACTGAAATGTCATAATCAAAATAAAAGAAATGCGCATGGAGCCAGAGTGTGCAACACTTGTTTCCTATAATCTGATAAACTGATCTCAAATGGGTAAAATCTGTGGAATACCTTAAAAACTTTGGGATTTATGGGCCAAATATGTGTGGAATTAGCACAAAATGACAATGTAATGAAGTAAACAATACAAAGCAGCATTAAATGAAAATACTCAAAGTATAGGCACCTTAGAATTGTACTTAAGTACAGTTCTTTGAATAACTGTACTTACCAATAGTTACTTTCCACCACTGTCTATAGCTTAAAGGTCCAGTGTGTATTTGCAGAAATAGAGTATAATATGAAAAGTATGTTTTCTTTAGTGTGTACCTGAAAATAAGACTTGCTGTTTCCCTTACCTTAGATTGAGACATTTTATTCTCCACTGAGAGTGGGTCTTTATTTAAGGAGATCGTCACACTGAACCAAAGTGTTTCTACAGTAGCCCAGAACAGACAAACTAAACACTGGCTCCACACAGGGCCATTTTTGCATTTTCACGTCGGCCACCACATTAAGAGGCCCAACTGCAAGGGGGAGCAGCACAGTTAAACTGATTTGTAACATAAAACTGCTTCATTCAGTGTTTCTTGCAGTTTAAATCACCTGCTCCCTTTGTTTTGGAGATGAAGAGACCTCAGTGGATAATTTGGTTCCTGATAAAATCCTCCTGAACAATGAATACGAAAGGAATTCTAGCCAGAAGAAGAAGTTTAGCTGGTTGCAATCTTCAATTCACTGCTACACGCCACCAAATCCCCCTAAATCTTACATACTTCACCTTTAACCCACAAACGCCTGTCTATTCCAAAATATAAATATCTGTCTTTTCAGTAAGGCAATTTTTCTCAAGAATTTATAATTTTTTTTTTTTATAGCAGATTTTTATGTTGAATGAATTGATGATATACTGGTGAGTGGGGAAATTACTATGCGCGAAGAGAAGGGAAGGGGTGCAAAAGCATGTGACATGAGCTTTACACTATTGTGGTACTCAAAATATTTCCTTGAGGTTGGTGGGTCTGTGATTCACAAGCACATTTTGAGACAGCTTTCTTGACCCGGGGATATTTTCCCCTTTCTGGCCGACTGGTAATAAAATGGAGATCAGATGATACAACTAATGGCCAAAATAACCCAAGTATTCATAGCGTAAGCCTAGACTACAAGCTTTTGATACGCATTTTTGAGGCTGTAGTTCAACATAATGTTAAGCACATCCATTTTAATATCTGTTATTTGGGGTGTGTGTGTGAGAATTTACTTTACCTCTTGTACATTTCCAGTTAAAATGTCCTTGTATGTTGTTAAAATTCACAAGACTTTGCTCCTTTGTGTGTTACATAATGTTACTGTGTTTGCGACTGATGCGCCAGCACTCCGGGTGCTGTTTGAACTCTTTGTAACTGTAAACATTTGCTTTATATTCATGGTCATTGAAATGGCACTGCTGAAAAATTCTGTTTGTGTCTCACATCCATATTTATTTTAAATTGTGTCTATAGATAATGTAGAAAAGGTACAACATGCAGTCATTCTCATTGTCCATTTTGCGTGGCACAGTGTCCATTCCTTCCATGTGTGTTTGTGCGCACAGTTTGCACATGGTCCATGAAATTCAGTACTTCTCTCCCCCTCATCATTCTCTTGTTTTGTTTCCAGAAAGGAGCACAAATCTCATTCCCCATCATGCCACTTTATCGCCCTGAAGAAGACCGTAGAGGAGCTGACTGTTGAAGAATTCTTCAAACTACAGAAGGAGAGGCACAAGATCATCATTGTATGTTTTTCAGAGAACACCTTAAATTATTGACCCACCTAATGCATAATGTGTAACTGCAAACATACTTTTCCAATCTGTTATTTTCTTGTTCTTACATATAAAAGTGAGCTAATTGCACAGCACTGCTAACATCTACAAAATGTTCCTAATTTCCTGCGAGAACACAACGTCTGATCCGGATTTCATTTCCCCCACTCACAGAACAAATCCTGTAATGAGGCCATCACCAAGTTTGAAGAGGCAGCCAAATTGAGAAGAGCAGATATCATCAAGACAGCCATGGGTGAAGAGTGACACGAGAATAGATGCAGATGAATGAGATGGGCGGCGCGTGAGAGAATAATTTTAGCTGGCTGTCTGACTGGTTTCTCAATGAACTTATTTCCATGTTTCTGTCATGTACTCTTTGTAACACTGTGCATCTGTCATCTTTTTATGTTCTCTGTCATGGTGTTTGCTGTTTTTATTCATTAAACTTGTTCTTTCTGGTCACGTTTTTTTTTTTTTTTTGAGGGGAAAGGTATTCTGATGGGACCTGTGCTAACATGTAGCATCTAGGACATAGATGGATTACTTAACAGGCCTATAGGGCCCAGTGGCCTTCAACTGTAAGATGTCACTTAAGGAGATGTATTGACCTGGAAAAGACATGAATTGAAAGAGACACTAATACTCCACCACCAAAATTATCATGTGTGTTTTTTTTGGACACGGGCAAACTTGCTACAAAAAGGCCATAGACTCCCTTCCCTTTGGGGGGTCAAATTCAACATCACAGACGGGTCAGTTAACAGTAAAAAGCAGCATGGAAGCAAGTGAAAATATTGCAGTGGTTTCTAACTTCCTTTTGATATCGCTCACTTATTCAATCTCTCAGACCGTCGACTAATTTGGAATGACCGAGCGCTTCTTAGACGGAGATAAAGGGTATTTTGCGGCAGCCTGTCATTGCATCACGCTAGCAAAGAGGCTAAAATTACCATGTCCACCTAGGTGTTGTATTGCCTTCCCATTTATTGCAGAAATCAGATGTTAGCAGGTGTAAATGTTTTTTGTGCAGTGGAAAAGGTGCTGGAAAAGATTCTTGAAGACTACAAAAAGGGGCAAAACAACCTCAAAGAGACATAACAACTACAAAAATACATAATCAACATCTACAGAGAGACAAAGTAACTACAGAACCACAGAGAGATGCATAATCACAGCAAAAATTCACTCAACTACCATGTCTGTGCATCGTGCTCATATGTGTTTGAGGTGGTGGGGTCTTCTGTATCTGAGCCCAGGGGCCCATTGTCTCATTATCCGCCCATGATACTGGGGAATCCGAAAAATTAAGACTACTTGCAAGAAGACAGCTATAACCCATCCACTGAAAACAGAAGGTCTGGCTTTATTGTATGCCATCTTTACTATGAAACTATTTGGTGATAGCATTCTTGGATGAATTACATCAGTGGTGTTCATTTACCAACCCTATAAAAGATCTGTCTGTCTCTCTCTCCCTCCATGTGTTGCGTAAACGTGTGCGCCTCCCGCATAAATCCAAGTCCCTCCCAGACGGCAGCTGCAGTTCAGCGAGGCTGCTATCATCCTCGTGCGGCTCTGTGACTTGACTCATTCATTCAAGGATAAGTTGATGTCCATCTCTAATTACTGCTTGGACAGAAAAGCCGGAAAAACATAGAGGAGGTTTATTTTCGCAACCGTAATGAGCGCGTCAGTGTTTCAGACTCAAGATCAGCAGTAGAAAATCCGCGTTAGGCAAAGCCATCACCGTTACGCGCGAATCAAGCGGTCACCTGTGCAGGATGAAGGTTAACTTTGGCTCTGTGGTGGTCACTGCCGGCATCTGCGGTCTCATGAGCTTCGCTTTCCTGGCGACTGCTCTCGGAACCGATTACTGGTACATCATAGAGATGAATCCTGTGAATATGAGCGACACTGAGGACATGAGCTCCCATTCAGGACTGTGGAGCATCAACGAAGGTGGGCTTCTGTTTCATAACTTTTACTTAGAATGATTGAGATCACTGTGATGTGATGTGATGGAGTGAAACTGCAGATATTTTTATGATCTTGTGCTTTTTCTGGTTTTATTGTGACCTTCAGGTGGGAAGAACAACGCAGACTCTATTGACTCCTTCAGTGCAGACTACTCCAGGTACTCTGAGATTGAGCTGCACATGCTGAGTGAGTCTCTCCTCTATCTTTGATAAAAACCCTGTGCTCATCCTATCACACACTCTGCTATCAAGACAGCCATAACTCCACAGATGACCCATAATCCATCTGTTTTCGTTTACCCCTGTGTGTTTATGCAGGCATGCACAGTGCAATAGTGGTGGTGCTTCCCTTCAGCCTGGTGCTGCTGCTAATTGGTGGCATCTGTGGACTGGTCAGCTCCCTGGCTCGAAGCCCGGTCCTCCTCACCGGCACGGCGTGCTACTTCTTCATCTGCAGTAAGTTGAGGTTTGGGTCCTACCCTTATTGCAACCACCTTCAGCTCTAGCAGTGCTGTAGCTGCAGAGGTGTTGTTTTGGTGCACCCACTAAGATATCTTAGCCACTTTTCCTAGACAGATCCATCAAAGCACAAACCACAATACCCAGCGGCACTCATGCACCGAGATGAATCAGTGCTGCCATCACTGCCGTTGCTGCCGGCAGTAAATACTTTAAAGTGCTTTAAAAGAGTCGGAAGTTCCCCTCTACACAGTATTGACAATGCTCTCTCACAGCTGCTGTGCCTGTGTTTGCTACACGGACAACAGTGCTGCCTTTATCACATTTAAGATTCAATGGTTAAACGTTGAAATGACACACTATTGCCACTAAGTTGTGGGAAAGATAATAAAGCTGACATGTATAAAAATAAATCACAGTGAGTGCCGGAGAGAGGTGCAACACAGTTCTGCTTTGCATCATTTACCCCAGTGTTAAATAAAGCCGGAGCCATTAGGTGGTGGTATAAAGGAGCCAATTGTCGGGACACACATTGTTGGAGATCATTTCACTCAAATGACTGTGTGCGGTTAGGAGCAGGAAGTGTGCGCTCCATCTCTGTCCAGTGCTCTCACACTTTTCTCTCTCACTGTAAACAGCATTTTCTCCACATACGTTTGTTGTGGCAGCCGTTTCAGAAATGTAAATACATTGAAAACTATCATTCTTAGGGTTCAATTTGGTCACACAAAACAATTACCTCAAATAATATGCGTATTAACACAGCTAATTAAGAGTTAATGGCTTTCAAATAACAATCAGGTCCCTTTTATACGCTTATTATCTTTCAGTGTGGTTGTTCAGATGGAAAATCACCAAAAATAACATTTAAAGACCACAGAACAGATACCATTTCTTTGTTTTTTTTGAGGCTGACATTAGAAAATAGTCACAACCAGTGTGGCTCTGGTTTTCAGTCGTATTCACCGTTCATACCACATTTAATGCACTAATGATACTGCAAAAGAAGGTGGAAAACACCAGGAAGCTGCGGAGGGTTTTGGTGGAATATATGGCTGCAGTGTGGCAGTAAAGCAAGGCCATGTGGTTCATCTGAGCGGACAGGAGCACTTTATGTGCAGGGCTGCTGAAACCGACCTCACTCACAGTTATTGACCTCCTGTGGCCAAAGGGACTGACTTTTATTACGAGCCAAGACTGACTGGCTGTTTGATTTGGCCATATTGGTTAAGTATGCATGAATGGGCAGGTGTGCTTTGGTGTGTGTGTGTGTGCGTGTGTGTGTGTCTGCTCTTGCTTCTGTTATATCAGAATGCTTCATCCTGTATTCCATCGAATGGATTATGAGAGCTTTTACTGGTCTTCGGGGAGGCACAACGGTGAAGTAAATTTGCTTTGGAAACGATTGCAGCATCGAATTTGCGTCTCTCTAATATTCTGTATTTCATTTCATCTTTTATTTCACATTGGTTGTGTGAGACAGTGAGACAGTTGTTAATGTCTCCTGAAACCTTCACATGCCGCAACATCAACTTGGTGATTCATGCTGGCCACAAAAGATTATAAATGTAGGATATGAAATATATGCAGTACAACTAAACAGACCAGAGATATACTGTGTCTTTTAGATACTGTATGTAAAAGAAAATACACATTCAGTTATAGAAATGATGTTCAGCTTTGTTCAACTGATGTTTGCTCCAGTTTCTTTCTAACTAAAGCAAAAAATGACCAAAAACATGATATGATCATATTGTAACAAGGATAACATTAAAGCAGACTAACCCAAATAACAGTGTTTAAACAGTATAAATTAAATACTGTATTAAAAATAAAGGGTGTGAAGGAGACATACTGTGGCCCTCACATATGACATAAGGAACAGAAATATATGGGTAGCTGGAGAATATGAAAACAAGCTCTTATATGTTTTACTACAAAAACAAATAAAGAGCATTTGTCACATTTATTGTCTTTATTGATTTGGGGACGTTCTCCTCTAGTCTCTCATTTCGAACCTCCTGTCTATACAGATAATATATAGATACAAAATCCTGTAGGCTTTTTGGGAGTGCTTTTAATTGATTTTCTTTGATACTGTGCGAATACTTGACTAATATGACTGTACTTTTACTGTTACTGCTGCAAATGTTCATTCATTCGTTCAATGAAAGAATAATTGGAGGATTAACTGTCGTTAAGAGGCTGTGGTGCACTCATTTTTTAAGCTAGCGTAAAGGTAGTGTTATATTGTGAAACTAGACGACTAGGGAGGCTCCACGATACGATATTATCGCGATACTTAAATCACGATATTATTGTGATTTTAAATGTATTGCGATATGCTGAGTATCGCGATAACATTTTGCAATATGTTGCGATTTATTACCTTTTTTCAACTGCAAATTATGTCCCGAAAGCACAACTTTGTCACCATCTGTATTATCTAAGATATTTTCAGTGTGTTTATCTCATGTCAGGTCATTTTTATTGCAACAAAATGTGTCTAGTAGACTGAAAAAGCAATTGATTATTTTATTCTAGTAGGCTACCAAAAGTTTAATTTGTAATTGTAATATTAATCATTTATTTGAATAAAAAAAAAAAAAGAAGATACTTGGTGTCCATGTAAAGATACAATATTGCCACACAAAAATATCGTGATACTATACTGTATTGATTTTTTTCCCCTATAGACAACCTAAGGCATCCATTGCTACCAACTGTAGCTTGTCGGAAAGGGATTACATAACGCTCCATAATTAGGCTAAATTTTGACAAGGGAACAACTGGCATGGCAATTTAAAAGTGGTCCCTTGACCTCTCACCTCAAAATATCTGAATGAAAATGGGTTCTGTGGGTACCCACAAGTCTCTAAACTTGAGACGGTTTGTTCCCTGGAAATGTTTTATTCCTTACAATCAATGTAGGAAAAGGACAATCAGCCTATTCAAAGAACAATGGATCCCCTTATTTGTGTATATACAGATAACTTACACACGAAGACAGGATTGTTGTGGAATGCTAAAATGTTAACATGTACCATTACATCAGATAATTAGTAATATTAACTTTAAGATGAGAAAATTAAGTATGCAATTCCTTGGATTTTCATTCATCGTTATTGTCCCAGCACTCACGATGAGCAGCGTTATGTGGGAACCAGCATCTTTAAGACACCACAAATTTGAAAGAGCTGACAGAAAGCGCTGTGCCTAACAACATTAAGTGCAACGGCCATATAACACCTTAACCTGGTTATCTGATTTAAATCCAGGTCATAATCAGTGTGGGAATAACATACTTATCAGTTTTTTTTTTATTTAACTTGACAGTCACACACCAGAGTGTTGTTTTTTTTTTGGCTGTGTGTGTGTGTGTGTGTGTTTTGACAGTGTGCCACATAGGTAACAGAATAAACTGGATAAAAAGCTACCATAGCTGTAATTCTACTATCAAAGAAATACTGTAAATTTGGGTTACTGGGAGAGTTAGATTACTGTTAACAGTGTTAACGCTATTGGGTTTATCTGGGTATTTACAGTAATCAACTTATTCATGCACACATAAACACAGTGTCTGAGCATCTGGCAGAGCTCGTTCCTCTGGGTCTCTGGGTGCTCCGCTGCCACCGTCTCAATCACAAGAAGACCTTGTGATGAATAAACAATTACTTAAAAAGACTCTTTATATTCTCCCTTAAATAAGCAGCACATGGCAATGTGTGGGACGGAATAAAGGTGTAAATTAGATTGGAGGTGTCTTGTGAACTGGCTGTGACTTGTGAAATATCCATCCTCCCTACCCTCCAAACACGGTGTTTCATTCTTGTTGTTTAAATTTGTCGTCCCCTAAATTTGTCTTTGCCCTGTTTGTTGTTCAGTCTACTTCGCCTCTTAAAATTAGATTGTTTAATTACATCAGGCATTGATTATTTTAGGTTCAATACCTTAGCATTGTCAGTTTATCCTCAGTCAGCGTGTAGGTGGTAATAAGCCCCCTAAACAAACAGGAAATGTGTGTTAACACCAAAGGTGAGAGGGTGATATCATGCCTTGTTACATGAATATATATACACATATGCACCTACATACACACACACATACACACATATCTACATATACAGAATTCTCTGCTCATTCCATTTTTCTGTCTTCGTTCTAACGTGGCAATTACTCTCCTCACCAGCCATTAACCAGCCTAATGGGTATTTGTCAGGGTTCCCTGCAGGGCCATTCCACTGCTTCCCTTGTATTTCATTTCCAGGGTAATTGATACTCTGATGAAGGTTCCCTTTAAAATAAGAACATTTAGGGCTTCCGTGCTCAAAACCAATCCACACTTATAATGAAAGCAGAAGGGCATAATATGACATCATTAATATTGTGTTGACCCACAAATTACATTGCTGTCATTGCTGGTATTGTCATGGGAATGTCATTCATTTTACAGGTAGTGATGATAAACCAAAGTATTGGACAGAGTGACCGAATTTGACCTGATGATGGGGCTGGAGGGAAATCAAGGAAAGGTTTTTGTCCTGTGGGGAACATGCACCAAATTCCAATCCATCCAGTAGCTGTTGAGATAGTTCAGGCAAAACCACAATTATAAGGGCACCCACTAACTCACCTGGTAGAGCAGGTGCCCTGTGTATAAAGGCTGTGTCGTTGCCGCATTGGCCGTGGGTTCACCTCCATCCCATAGCCCTTTGAATAAAGGCAAAAGCCGAAAAAATAATCTTAAAAGAAACACACATTTGTCAGCCTCATTGTGGCGCTGAAGGAAAAGTCAGGGGATTACCAAAGTCTCTAGGATTCATCCTCTGGAGGACATGAATGTCCAAAATTTCATAGTAGTTGTCGAGATATTTCAATCTGAACCAACCAACGCTCGACTGATCAATTGAGCCATGTCTCTCCAGCTCTAGCTAAATTTACCCATCACAGTTTCCCAGAGCCCCAAGCTGATGTTTTGTTTGCTTGACTGTCTACAAACAGTCTACACCCCAGAGATATTCAGATTCCTCTCACAGAGGGTAAAAAGACAGTCAATCTTCATATTCAAGGAGCTACTACCACTGAATCTTTGTTTTTTTTTTGGCAAAAAGGAGGTTTAAATGGTTTATCAAAGATCAGAATTGTTGCTGATGGCAACCTGTCGATCCACTTATCAATTGACTTTTTGTTTCAGCTGTAATAGTAGTCGTCCTCTCTACATGTTCGTTCAATATATGAGGCAGTTTTCTCTCTGCCTCTCTGTTTGTGTTCCTGTGCATAAAAATGAGACATCAGATGCAGCTTCCTCCTCATACTCCGAGCCCCGTAGCACCTCGGGGTGTAATCGTAATAAAACGATTATTAGTCCCACCCTGGGTAGCCTCTGCGCTCCGCTTGCATCCCCTTAAAAACCAGTAGCAAGCCGTCAAAATTAAAAGGGTTTCCAATAGCAACACTATGAAACTTGTGAGGACTGTGTGGGTTTGTGCGTCTCTCAGTCGAGTCCCTGATGACTAGAACGTTGTGTAAGTAGACAGCATGTACGTCAGTGTATTTCCTGTCTGACTATATGAGATTTAGTGTTGCTAATGGCATGATGTTATTGGTGGTTTTAATGATGAACTCTAATCACGGAACTGGTATGAATTTCCGCTTAATAATCACTGGAGTACAATGCCAGCTTGTGTGTAGCTTTAAGAAGTCTTGAGTGTTTGTGCGTAATAAAATAAATATATCTTCACTTTTTATCAATGAACAGATGACCAAGATAATGAGCACATAAAACCCAGCATTGATTTAAGCCTTTTTTCCTGTGTATGTGTGTGTAATCTGTCTCTGCAGGTCTGCTGACACTGTGTGGTGTGAGCCTCTACATCTTCTACTCGCACCAGGCGAAGGCTGAGACAGAGAGGCTGGTGGGGCCGGAGGGTCTGGCCTATATTCACACCTCCTTCGGGTGGTCTCTGGGTCTGGCCTGGCTCTCCTACGGCCTGGAGCTCCTCACTGGCGCACTGCTGCTTGGGGCCGCGCAAGTGGCCAAGCTGAAGCACAGCACTTCCACCATGGCCTGACCCAAGCATCCACAGTGGATCCAGCACATTCAGGATGGAGGAGGAGCTGTACTGTCTGAACTGCATGTGTTGCTAGCATGTGGTTCTGCTTTAGCACAAGGTAACAAACAATAAGAGGACACTATTAAGGCTCTCACACACAAAAAAATGTTGAACTAAAGATGTTGTGGACTGTTAAAAGAATGCTTTAAACGTTAAACGTCATAATTCTGCTGCAGATCGGAGATGTGGTGATTTACAGTAAGTGGTGGATTACTCTGAGTTCAACATGATCAACTGCTCCCTCTTGTGGTCAGAATTGTAGTGGCTCCTCATATCCACTGTCGGTGCATCTCACTATAACCTGTGCCAAACAAAACTGACAGTCTCACAATTTAAAATCATCTCCTGTTTATTAAAAATTTGTAGATACATTTTTATTCTCACATTTTAAATTGGCCATATTTGTTGTTTTTGAATGTTTACAGTGTTAGAACACAGCAAGTCAAACTTTAAAATGTTGTATATACTATGACATGTTATGTTACATGTTTATCTATTGAAAATGAGTAATAAATATTTGTTCCATGTGACTGTAGCTTGAAAATGTTACACCACTGCAGCGACTTACTGCCTTGATATCAGTATTACGATGATATTGTGGCTGACTATTGGTGCTTTCACAAAATACACAATGAAATTTTTGATAAATAATCATCAGTAATGTGAATATAATGACAGAGTGGGTAAAGGCAAGTGATACAACAGCTACAACAGACCAGATGATTGCACCACATTACTGTAATGCAGCATTTAAATCTAGGAAAAGACAACGCTTATTATATTACGATATCCATCCATAACTTGACTTTGAAAAAAGAAAGATTTCAGGGCTTAAAATAACTGCACATGTGACTGGGAGATTTGGTCCGAAGGTCAAAGGCAGTTTGTACTCTTGACTTTTAGGCAGCAGTCGTAAGCAGAATGGGGTGACAGGTTTCCTGCTGTTGTCACCCAGCTGGCTGCATCTTTTGAGGAAAAACACAAACACACATCACCAAATACTTTTCTTAGGCGTTCCTATGGCAACCTAAACATCCTGTGCATGCACACAAAGGATGGTAAAGTGGGTGTGAGATTCTAAACAAGCTCTGTCACTGCAGATAAACATGGAAGGCACCAGAAATTGGGAGATTCATTTTGGCCGTCAGATAGACTTAATGTAACTCTAAAATGGCTTCCTTTTTTCTCTCAGGTCTTGAGATGTTTGATACACATTGTGGAAACGTTTTATTGGCCCAAGAGACCAAAGAATTTTAATGATGTTTTCATGAACCTTTTGGCTGTAGAAAACAAAAATCCCCAAAACATAGCAATAGGTTTTTACATGATAGCAGCTGCATGTTTGCTTTTCAATACACTGTCACTTCGAATTAAGACAAAAACTACAATTTTTTGAGTGATGAATGCAACTCTGACCCCTTGAGATTCTTAACTCCTGCTAGCTTGTCTGCATCTGACCTAATCCCGCTGGTAAATTGTTTAAGACTCTAAATAATATAAATATAACAAACAACGACTGGCCAGCTCACTCAGTGTAAAAGTCCATGGTACAGGCAGGCAGTCCAAAAATGCATCCACGGCCCCCTGACTGTAGTTAAAAATCTTTTATTGATTAATGGATAAACCTACATATTTCGACTAGAGAGTCTTCATCAGGGTGTAAAATGCATCGGAAACAGGTGTGCAATTTAAAAAGTAGAGGCCATGTGACACAGGTCACACAATACTAGACAAGAACCACATTAAAAGAAATTGCAAATGAAAATGAAGTAAATGTGTACTATGAGTAATTCACATATGTAGTAACAAGAATCCCAAATAAAAAGAAAATCAACATATTGTGACAAACCTGCACATTAAGCGACAGAAAATTAAAATATGCAGTAAAATATCTGACAAAGACAAGAAACAATATGTACTACAGTGTGGATGAACAACAAACTCATAACATGTATAAAGTTGAAATATTTATAAAGAGTGTGACTCATGATAACTAACAAAAAGACCTGACAGTAGGGATAAAGTTAAGCCTCAATATTCAAAGGCAGGAAAACTTCAAAGGGCTCACAAAGGATCACCCTCAGTAATATATGTACAGAAACATGCCAACAGCAATATTATACTCCTAAAAGAGAGTATAAAACACTCAAGGGCTCACCCTCACTAATACTAGTTCAAAAACATAACAATGCTGAGAGGAAGGTATGATGTAGGGAAAACTCATAATAAATAACCATATACATGTCCAGAAAACATGACACAGCGGCAGATGCCAGAAGAGACAGAAAAAAACTGGACAGGAAGTATTCCAGCAGAAAAAGCAAAAGGTGTCGTCCTGGTGTCTAAATTTCCCAGGTCCCAATCTGCTCGAGGGTTCTTGTGATTAGCCAGTACCCCAGATGGATCTGGGACTGTCTTGCGGTGTTTGGCACCAGTGTGTTGGCGGCAGATCTATTGAGTCCAGTGGGTTATGAGGTGGCACATGCCACAGATGCTAAATCATATTGGGATCTCGGGAATTTGGAGGCCAAGTTGACACTTTGAGGTCTTTGTCACATTCCTTGGACCATTCCTGAGCGATGTTTGCAGTTTGGCATGCTGCTTTTTTCTGCCGGGGGGCCACTGCCACTGGGGAGTACTGTTGCCATGAGGGGGGTTACTTAGTCTGCAACGGTGTTTGAGTGGGTGGAACATGTCAGGTGGTATCCACATGAATGCCAGAACCAAAGGTTTCCCAGCAGAACAATGCATTGGAACAAAATAATCAAAGTTATTCAATTCACCTGTCAGTGGTTTTAATGTTTTGGCTTATCGGTGTACCTGAGTTCTTAAATTGCACACCTGTTTCCAATGTATTTTACACCCTGATGAAGACTTTCTAGTCGAAACACATTGGGTATTCATGTATTAATAAAGGATTTTTAACTACAGTCAGAGTGCCTCGGATGCATATAACTACCTACACAGTGCCTTAACCCAGTGCAGCACTTACAGTAAGATGGTCTTCTAAAAGAAACTGTTAAAACAAATTGAGACAATCAGTGTTCCAATGAGTCATTTTTAATGCAATGAGATCTTCCATGCTCATTCAAGAACATCACAGTGCTTCTAGAAAATGTCACAGACTGGCTGTCTGTCATTTACACAGAAATGAAGTCGGCATCTCAAATATATAAAACAAACTAGTCATAGATCCAGTCATTTCTTGATACAGTGTTTAAACAACAGGAAATGCTCAAAAGGTGAATAATACATTCACTACATCACTAGAAAGAACAAAGCCGTAACAGAGAGACCGGAACAGGTTTGACCTGTCGATGTGAGGCTCACTGCTGATCCATACATCATTGTAGAGACCAGCTCATATTAATGCAACACATCCATGCACACAACTTTACACTACTCACTCCTCATTATGATCATTTTGGACCGATGTTGCCTGAAAGCCCATTTTACATTCTAGTTCTAACATTTTTATGCGAGATCATTTCATGTATCCAGAATTTTAAAATTGATCCCAAGACACTACAACTCAACAATATGATACTTATTTTAAGGTTAACAGTTCTTTAAGGCAAAGTGATCCACCACACATTAACGGCAGGGAAACTCTGGGATACATTAGGCCTTTCAATAAAAAATACCTTTACAAAAAACAGAACTGAACAATTAAACAAATAAATAAAATGTGCCAAGAAAATGAAACATCACTGTATATATTACAGATAGTTCCATGTAGCTGTGGTCAGAGAAGAGCCTCCGTTATATTGGAGGTGACTGGCCGATATTTGGTGCTTTGGCCAGCATGTGGCCTGACATGTCAGTCTGTGTGCATCTTGTTGATGGGATGGGAAGAGCAAGGGTTATCTGTCAGTAAATGTTAAGGTGACGGATAATACAGCAGGCCTCCCTTGAAAGTTCGGATGTTTGAATCCATTTCCATCATGTTTTTTATAATTCTCCTGCCTGTTCATCACTTCACACTCATCGTTCAGGACTGATGATGATAAGGGCTGTTTCAGAGCTCTCTGCCTCTGCTCAGTCTCTGAACAAACAGATGGACGGATGGCATGATTTCGGCTCCAGTTACAGGAATTGTGACAAATCATCCTAAGGACAAACACAAACAGATGTTTCTCAGTTTTGTTCAACTTCAGCTATGCTTCCAACACTGCCATGAAGAGTCACAAAAGTTGCCTCCAATGGTGGAGTTTCTCCAAAGACACAAAAAGAAGAGGAGAGTTTTTCAGCCGGGCAGGCACACCTTCCCAGCAAACAGCAGTCCCACGATGGTGAAGAATATGGACAGAACGAAGAGGACGTAGGAGGAGCCCACCACCGTGTTGTTGGGGAGCTTATATGGCTGTCCTCCAACCTCGTTGATGTAGAAGCCGATGGGGAATATGAGGGCAGCCATGCAGAACAGGACCACTGTGACAGATGAAAAACACACGGACAGAAAGAAGATTACCTTCCCCTCTAGACGAGCGACTCCCAACCTGGAGTACTCCTGCAGCTGCCAGGGGTTATCAGAAAAGACTGTAGAGAAGCTAAACACATTTAGAAATACAGAAAACAAGATTTAAATTTCAATTTCGATTTAAATTTTGCTTTCAAATATCAGGCCAGCTGTGCCACCTGAACACACGTTGAGAGAGCATGGAAACTAGTTAGCGAGCCAGGGGATAAGCTGAAGTGAGGGATAAACAGTTACATTAGCTAAAAGTAAGGGATAAATAATTGAAATATTTAGCTTAAAGGAATACTTCACCCCCAAATGTTCTTTTGTATATCAATAACTCATCTCGTGTTACATTAAATTTGTGAAGAAACCTTTTTCTCACATGCCTCCACTGTGAATGAAGAATCCAAAAAAGGCGATTATTCTTGATGAAGTCAAAGTGTTCCACGTATCAAACTATATCAAAATATTGATTTACAAACTCTCACACAACTCCTGCAGTATAATCCAAGTCTCATTTATCCAGCTGTATGCTCAGTACTTCCCAATCACCTGCATTTTTGCTAAAACCTTACTATTTTATACACTTCCCCATAAACAGTGCCATGCATGGATGAGTAGCTAGCCTGCCGAAGTGTTTTTAATAGGAAGGTTTCGGTGAAAATGCAGTCGGGAAGCACTGAGCAAACAACTGAATAAATAAGACTTGGATTATACTGCACAAGTTGTGTGCAGATGTTTTGATATAGTTTTGCGATTGTTTAACACAGACCTTTTTAATTCAATTTATCAAGAATTTTTGCTGTTTTTTGGATTCTTCGTTCACTGTGAAAGCATGAGAGAAAATCAAAATTTTCTTAATGAATTCAACATAACACAGAACAACTAACTGACAAACTAATGATCATTTAGCGGGTGTAGAATTTCTTTAAAGGAATGGAGTTGGCTAAACGTAATGGGCAAATGGTTGAAACAGTTAGAAGCAATAAATGGTGAAATAATTAAAACTAATGCATAAATGGTAAATTGTCTCTTAGAAATAGATAAAATAGTTACCAGTAAGCAACAAGTAATAGACAAACAGCTAAAACTGTTAGCTAAAAGTAATGAACAGCTGGTTAAAATAGTTTGCATAATCAAAACAGATAGCTACAAGTAAGAGTTCAAATAGCTAAAAGTAATGGATGAACTGAAACTCAATGGAGTTGTCAACTAAAGGTGACTGGAGCTCATGTGACATGGCTACTGGGGTCCATCTGACAAAAAAAAGACAAATCACTGCTCTAGACCACTGGTTCCCAACTGGTCCAGCCACGGGGTCCAGACTGCTCCGTAGTCATTAGTTCAAGATCCACAAAGTTTAACATATTCAGTGTCATACTTGCATTCGGCCATGTCATCGTCTTAGTTTGCCGTCTCTGTTAAGCAGCTGTCTGTTATTTACTCACTCTACAACAGGAAACAGCATTTCAGAATGAAAGCTTGTGCCAAAAATTCACTGTACTTCAAAAATAAAGTGCGTTTATTACAATCTTGACATGTTTGCGACCCACTTTTGGACCACAGTCCATCAATTGGGAACCACTGCTCAAGACCACTGGTTCCCAACCTAGGAGTCCTACGCACCACTAGGGGTCGCCAAACCTTCATAGGTGGTCCCGAAGCCTTCTTGATTATGATTGGTGTAAGAAAACTGAATAAATATTTACTAATAAACGACTTTACCAGTTGTTCTGTACTGTTACTGTTATACACTGAATATAATATAAAATATCAACAAAATGTCACTTAGTCAGGGGCTGTCATTTGACTTAATGATAGATGAGGTGTCCAATATAAAATATTATGAACAACTACACAGCATACAAACTTTTAAGGCAGCTTTTAGGTATTAAAATATGTGTGGAAAAAAACTGTCCTTAGCACTAAAATCAGCCCCCAGTATTGATGGTCTACTCATGAGAACCTGCTTCATATTTTTCTATAATTGGAGCCAAGTGAAGCTCCTGCTCTGGTCCCCTGTAACAGACAAACTCTGTCTCTTTCCTGTAAAAATAGAAAACGGCCCATCAATTACAGCTCCTCCACAGTCACTTTGTCAAGATGTTCATAATTACCGGACTAAAAGCTCTCCTGAAATGAAGCGCTGAGTTCTGAGGAAGGCTCCATTTACCTCACAGGAAATTCTCAAGTAGCATCGGTTACTTTCACAAGCATTTTATAAGCTATAATGGGTGAGCTTGCCTCCACCTGCAGTTAATTTCTGACCCTGGTGTGGTACTTTACGGCTAAAAGGGTTGGGTGTGATATTAAGACAACTTTAATATTCATAAAACTGTTATTTACCAGCAGCAAACTGGACACAGAGCAATTGTGTTTACAAATGTCCACGATGGTTTCAAGGAAGAATATAATGTCAGTCTGTCAATGCTGAACTTGTGTTTTGCTCTCAACTGTAAGTTTGTCACTTCCTATTGGCTGACAGTTGTCTTCAACCCTGGAATGTCATTTGGTAACAAATTTGAAACTATTTATTCAAAGAGAGATGGTTATGATTGAAGAGCATTTAAGGTGACAGCGAACACCTACTCCCTGTGAAGGCGATCCATCGGGCGTATCGGGCAGCTTCGCGGCGCCAGCGTGACATCACCAGCAGACCACAGGTGACGGTGAGGGAGATGATGCCCAGGATGATGAAGAAGAGTGTGGTGATCCACTCCGGGGGAAGCTGCGGGGGGATGCAGGTCCGGTCTCTGCCGTGAATGGTCTGGCACTGACGAACCAGACCCACAGTCAGAGAGCCTGGGTGGAGACAGAGAGGGAGAAAAAAAATCCTCTTTATATCCGCAATAACATTTTTTGGCCACTTGGGGGCAGCTGAAACATGTTGTGGGCATAACATTGACATACAAACTGATATGGCAAACTTGTTAGCAAACTGATGACTGTAGGTCAATACTGTCTCTCTTTTAGCTCTGTTTTTGGTCTCTACCAGCTCCTTAGGAAAGCATCTGGAGCTTTAGCTGCTAAATGCTCTGATACGTTCACCAGCTGGGGTTTGATACATAAACCACACGTACGCACAAAAACCAAGAATAAGTCACTTCTCATTGACAGGTCTAATGAGTGATGCAGGGGCACAAGTATTGATATGCAAACGTATGTTTAATAGAGTTTCTACAGTCATTTATTGCGAACTCTGAGTGTGGAAATGAGGCTCATGCAGGTGCACCCAGCATCACCACGACTGAGATTTATAAAACAGAATCAGGCGTACGCATAGCTTAATAAATCTGACTAAAAGAATGTGTAGGCATATTTCTTCCTTTGTGTGTACACACAGTTTTAGTCATCAATCTACACAGGGTTATATGCAACTGGTCTCTGGTCACTAACTGTGTCTGTCTACTGATTGATGCTTTTTGTCTTTTGTTTGCTGCAGCCGAAAGCAAGGCTATGAGAGTGGTGAGAGCGAACCAAGACAGATAAGTTGGTGGCCAGTCAGCTTAACAATGAGCTAAAACTCACTTTAAGGCTCACTTTAAGGCTCAGTCCCAAACAGATGGGACCTGCACATTAAATCCATTAAGTGAACGGCAAAAACAGCCTAATGCACAGCAACATATGACATTACAGTAGTTCTTATGTTTCTGGCTGATGACCTCCCAGGAGTCCCTCTGATTCCCCACAGTGACCGGAGGCCGAGGAACCTGTTGGTATGGAAACACTGTGTCCCAGCGGCAGCAGTGACCCCTAGTGATTCATGAATGATGTCAAACAGGCTCAGGGTTCTGGCAAGAACCACCAAAGCATCATAGACACAGAGAGAGAAACTGTAAGATGTAAGAAACGAAGAGATCAATAACCCTACATCAGATGGCAAGTCACCTGACGGCCTGCTGTCTCACAGAGCCTGCTGGGTGGCTGTGATGTCAGGTAGCACACACACACACACACACACGGAGCCCAACAGAGACTGCATCTGCTCAACTCTGCATCCAGCCTGACTACATAGACGACACAACACAGAGCACATAAATGAAATCCTCCCACACCTTCATTTAGTCTTTTGTCTTGCTCCTTTTTTCTTTCTTATTATCCTCAGCGAGCAGTTAGCGCCCGCCAAACCGACACAGAAGAAAGAGGAGCTTTATACATTTTATGGATTTATGGATTTATTCTGGGCAATTTAAACCACGCGACTGTAGAATTAACATAATTGTCACAATGGCCAAAATTACAAGTAACCAATATCACAAAGAGTGCAGGAAAAACACAGGGAGGCACTGAAACATCTTTTAATTAGGGGGGATAATTACATAACATATGCTGCTTTTGAATAAACACCTGCTGCTTAAAACCATTAACACCCCTTAATTTACATTTAGCGGTTTATTATTTTTAAACTATACAATGTGTAAAAGATGTACAACTAAAATTAGGGACCTGAGAAAATCATACTACAAAACAGTCAACAGATTTAATTCCTAATCCCATATCCATCAGCCCTTAAAATATTTATTGCTGGCTTGAAAGAGCTTCGGTTGCTGATTTTGGATACAGTGCTGGGTGATGATACCAGGACCAGGCTGAACCACATCCTCCTGTAGGTTGACCTACCCACCCCTATACACAGGATATCCTGTTCCCTTTCAACACATCCTTTCACACTGCAGGGTGGGGGACAATGTAAATAGTGCATTCATTTCCCCGCATATTGGACTCCATACCAAAAAAATAAAAGTCACACAGAAATGTGCTTTTGCTTCCTGCCATGATGGAGCGCGGGCTTTGTTTTTGATATGATTTAAGAGAGCGAGAATAAACTTAAAGGAAAACTTCAAACGCAAAATGACCATTTGTACATCAGTTACTCACCCTGTGGTACCTTGAGTTTGGGAAGAAAACGTTGGTTTTCTTACATGCCTCTACAGTGAACGAAGAATCCAAAAACAGAAAATTTGTGGGGAATTGAAGTAAAGGGGTGGCGCGTTTAACAACAGCAATACTACAGTGGTGGAAAAAAGTTTTCGGACACCCCATGCATTTGTGAAATACTGCATTAAGAATCACTCTTCACAGGTCTTCAAGTGCAATTTCTTTTAGTACAGTCACAGCCAAAATACTAAATAAATCCTAAAAAAGCCATTAAAAACTTAAAATTGATTGGTTCCATAAAAATACATAAGAAATTTTGAGTATTGGGTCATTTTGGTACCAGTGATGAAGGTCGTTCTTTTTATTAAAAGACACAATTTTTGTTGCCAAGCTTTGTGTCTACATAAAGCCAGCACATTTGAAAGTTCTTCAGACACAAAAAAAAATGGCTAAAACAAGGAACCTAACGCAGGAAACACGCCTGAAGATAAAGATTCTCAGCCAGGAAGGGTACAGCTGCCGCCAGATAGCCAGGAAGTGCAGATGCAGTCCTTCAGCAGTTGGATACACTCTGCAGAAATACAGACGAACCAACAGCTTGGAAGACAAACCAAGATCTGGGCGTCCAAGGGTTTCTTCAGCAAGAAATGACCGCATCCTGATTGGCATGTGCAGGCAAAACCGCCGAATGACATCACAGGAGCTTCAGCAGCAGTGGTCAAACCAAACTGGTGTCCAGTGTTCCACCCGCACTGTACGTGGCCGACTTTTAGATCATGGCTTGAGGTCCTACAAGGCTATCAAGAAGCCCCTGATCAATGAGAGACAGAGGTTAGCCCGGGATCGTTGGGCCCAGGCACACAAGAACTGGACAGCCAGGAATTGGAAGAAGATTTTGTGGTCAGATGAGTCCAGTTTCCAGCTTTATCTTCCTCCTACTAATGTGAGGGTACGCAGAAGGCCAGGCGAAGCATTATCTCCAGCATGTACAGTACCTACTGTCAAGCATGGTGGAGGCAGTATCATGGTTTGGGGACGCATGAGTGCTGCTGGTGTTGGTCATCTCACTGTCTGTGATGGCACATTGAACTCTACCAAGTATTGTACCATTCTCAAAACCCACATGCTCCCTTCTGCGCGTGCACTGTTCCATCGAGGTAAAAACTGGATGTTTCAACAAGATAATGCCCCTTGCCACACATCCAAGGCCAGTAGAACTTGGCTGCAGGAGCACAGTATCCAGGTCTTAGAGTGGCCAGCTCAATCCCCGGACATGAGCCCCATTGAAAATCTGTGGTGGATTATCAAAAGGTCTGTTTCAAAGCATAAACCAAAGAATTTAGAAGAATTAAAAGCAGTAATTCAAGAAGAATGGGACAAGATTACCCCTCAACAGTGTGAAAGGCTCGTGGGGAACATGCCAGCCAGGATTAGAGCTCTACTACGTGCCAATGGCAGGACTACTAAATATTAATTTGATGATGTGATGGTTTATTTATTTTTTGTTCAGTTTTGAACACATTCTCTGTTATTTGTTGACTTTGATACCGACAATGTTGAGAACTGACATATTGAAACTGTCAAGAATTTAGTTTTGTTAGTTTTTCTTGTAAACAATAAACAAAAAAATATAATTTGTATTTGTTTGTATCTGTCTAATGCAGCCACACCTTTTGAAACACAAAAAAGATTTTTCCACAAATATTTCATGATAATAATTGTGTAAATGATAATAATTGTGTAAAATTTTAAGGGTGTCCGAAAACTTTTTTCCACCACTGTATATCAAATTTTTGCTAAAGCTGTACCATCTAAAACACGTCATCGTGAACAGTCTCAAACACATTATCTTCTTCCTCACCCTGCCATTCACTCCTTGCATGCATGCTCCTGCTCTCTCTCCGGTGGTCAGTGTTCGGAGCTGTCAATCGAGTCATCAGCCGCTCTACAGCTGATCAACCAATAGCGCAGCGACACACCTTCTCCATCAGCCTATCATCTCACTGCTCCTCAATTTAAATATGGTTCATTTCTGCCCACAGTCCTTTCATGCTGCTCCCGTGCGCACCCTCCACCGCCCCGTCACTGCCTAGTCTTCTCGGATGCAGCCTCTATTCGCCTCAGCACTCATCAGCCAAAGTCATCAGCCACCACCACCTCCACCAGCGTCTGGACCCCATGGGAGAATTTTTCGTGCTGCTGCTCATTAATAAGCTCCCTCTGGTGTCTAAACAGCAAAAACTTTTGTTAAATCTTATCAGCACAAATCATCTGTTAATCTGTACACTTCCATTTCGCATTAAACTTAATCTTTATTTAATTCTTCTGTCTCAGAATGTGTGCGGACTGGATAAATGAGACTTTGATTATACTGCACGAGTTGTGTGAGACTTTGCAAATAAATGTTTTGCTATAGTTTAAACATGAACCCCTTTTGTTCCACTTCATGCAGCAATATCTCAGTTTTTGGATTCTTCGTGTACCACTGAGGCATGCAAGAAAGCATTTATTCACAAATTCAACATAACACTGGGTGAGTAACTGATATACAAATGATCATTTTGTGAGTGACTTATTCTTTTCAGCAACAAAATGTATGATTATGAATGAGAGCCGGCACAGGAATAAAATAAGAAAGAATGAAAAAAATTAATAAGTAACTTTACTTTATTTGTTTTCCTGGTGAAGGAAATACAGACCTGTGACAGTTTCCTGTTGTGTTATGGAACACTGTATGGAAAGGAATCAGTCAGAGACTTCTTTAACAGACTAAGCATTTGTGTACGTGTGTGTGTGTGTGTTGGGGGGGTTCACTAAGTACCTTAACCTGTACTTAGCGAACACTTCGTAAACTGCTTCGACATTTTTCTGCTCCTTCAAATCTTGCAACACGGCACTTAAGCACACAAACACACAAGTGCATCTGCTCACATTGGTGCAGTTTCTCTCTCTCTCTCTCTCTCTCTCTCTCTCTCTCTCTCTCTCTCTCTTTCTCACACACACACAGTGCTGACAGCATGACCTTGTGGTAGATAGAAAAGCACTATGATAGAGTGGCTCGTGAGCACATCAGTGTTTGAACAGCAGCTATAATTAACTCAAGTGTTGCCGTCACCAGTGGTGTGATTCTATTGATCATGTCAACCAATAGGAAATTCTCAAAGTGCATATTCATAGTGAGCATGGGCTTATTATGTTATTATTATAATAAGTTTATTCTGTATATTTTCTCCCTTTTCTGGGTGTATAAATCTAGATGGCCAACTAACTAGATTCATCAGAGCTGGGCTAAGTGCAGAGGAACAGTCTGAAAACAAAACGAAATAAATATACATATATACATGTATGAGTGTGTGTGTTTTTACTTCTGCGTGTACACTAAGCACTCAAAATAAGAATACATCATGACTGAGCGCGAGGAGCGTTAATTCTTCTGGTGGAAAGCACCGTTCTCCCAGGAGGCCAAATTAAGAGTCCCACATCTTCACTCCCAAACAACACTTCCTGCTTTCAGGTAATTACTACTCGGCTAATTAAACAGGAACAAAAAGCTTTTAGTACAGTAAGTACAGTCATTTCACACCATCGCTTGCAATCAGGGAACAAGAGTCAAAACCTTCAGTGTGAGCCGGTCTGAACTACAGTCCATTTTGTGCTATGATGACTGGGAGAGAAAGATTTGGTGCTGTGGTTAATCATTCAATTATGTGACAAAAACATCTTGTTATGTACTCAACTTGCAGCAGCAGTCAGTATTTTTTACGCCGGTAACGTGCTTATCTCTGCTCCACTGTAGCATGAGGATGGAGGCTGACAAGAACCTCCAGCAGCTGTGCATATACTGTAGTGGTGCTGTTTGTCTGTTGCATCAGTTTTAGTCAATGTTTAGCTTTTGGACTTTGCATCTGAATATTACTCTATTGAAATAACCAGGGAGGCTGACTGTGAGTAGAAGTCTGTGGGATTTGGATAAAACCTGTATTCGGCACTTTAATTCTAGGACTGACTGTACAATGAATAAAATCTAACTTCCCACAAGTGATCAGTATTGGCTGTAAAATGATCATAATGGTGATAACTAGTGTTTTAATTTATTCCAGAACAAGTTTTGACACTGATTTAAGACGCCAACATATTTATGTAAGTATTAAACATGATTTAAAATCAAGCTCTCTGAAACGATCAAAGTTCCAGTTCCAAAAAATTATCCTTAGCTATGAGTCATTCAAAGTTAAAGGGAAATTCCACCCATTTTACACATCAAAATCTGTTAACAGGCGTCAGAGTGTACTACTGCACATGTGAAAAAGTTGTATGAAGCCTTTTTGTCTCCAGAAGGAGATGTGTGAAACTGTTGTAAAGATATACTATGCAGGATTCTCCTAAATAAAAAAAGACATTGTATAGACTCATACAAAAGTAATCCCTCTCATCCATCACTTATGACCCAGGAGAGGTGTGTGGCAGTGTTTTTATCTGCAGAGACTCTGCCATCTGCCTGTATTTTCCTTCTTATTTTGCTATGATTGGGGCGTTCATGGGATCAGTGCGCCTTATAAAAAGGTAACAACCAGGTGCAAGACTGTAAGCAGCATGAGTCCAAGAAGAAGCTATGAAAATCGCAGGCACAGCACCCGGGGTTGGCTTTCAATTTCACTGGCAATATTATATACAAACAGTAACCAACAATTCTTGCATAGTATATCTTGAAGTGATGTCACCCGAGTCAGCGTCTGTTGGAGCTGAAGACTACAAGTTGTGTGAAATCTCCTGGTCTCAAGGTCTCCAGACCGATCATCATCTCTGCTTGAGGCTACATCAGCCACTACTACCATAACACATCCGAATCTCCAACAGAATTGACAGTGGTTGAGTTGCATTGTGGGTGATATAGTCACAAAGTAGTGGAATGCGGGGATTAAAAGAAGACACTACATTCCTGATATGTGCTCTATCGTTGTAATACTTTTGTGTACACAAACAGTAGTATGTAGCTTTTGATCCCTAAGCTGTAATTACCATGTCACTTCAAGAGAGCCTCATTGTAGGTTGGCGACAAGTAACCATGGTAACCTATATTAACTCTGGCCAACCTCAACTCTGCCAGCAATTTGAAAATAATCTAAAAAATATGTGAAATCTTACACTTATACTTAAACTGTCTCAAGTTGTCTCAGCTGTCTTGGTCATGTCCGTGACAAACGTTGTCTACCGCACTGCATTGTGGGATAATTATGTCGACATAGTGTCCAGTGATTGCATACTACAATGTTTCATCGGAAACAGTGTGCAAGTCAAGTGCTATGGGTTTCCTACTAAAATTTCAGACATACTAGAAAAATCTCACGTACTGTTTTAGCATGGAATTTGGATACAGCCAATAAGTTGTTGTGCTGCATACATTTTTAAACAACCCAACAACTGTCCTCACATTTTCATTCAAATTTTGCTAAACCTTGATTGGTGCACGTACACAACATCATTTTTTTTACAGCTGAACACCTTCGAAGCAGTAAGAAACGCACAGATACAAACACAAATATGGAAATATCCTGCGTAAAATAAAAAAATCTGTTCAAGCTTTGATAGAAAACTGTGTTTTACATATAGGATTTAATGATTTACATTAAAAAGCTGACTAAGAAAAGTAGTTTTGGGCCTTTGAAGTGCACTGCACTCCCTGCACATGTTCTCCTCAATAGTTAGAACATGTGCATTTTTCCCTCTCTAATAACATGAAAGTTGCAGGACTTTTGACAAAATTAAAAGCTTTTACACCATACATTTGTGCATAAAAAACAACATATTGCAGGAAATTAAACGTGTGATGCTAAAAAATTTCTGGCAGCGGACCTCCAAACCCCCATTTTATGTATGTGTGTCCCCTCCATAATGTTGAAGCAAACCTGCACTCTTGTGTTGGAGGATGATGAAGATGATCTTATAAGAATATGGACATTTGAGTACATTACAGTAAAATAACTTGACTGGCAGAACAGTTACTGTTTAAGTATCTGAACTTTGGGACATTTGCTTGACCTTTGCTGAATTCAGAGGACAATTTAGACACCAGATTATTCATGTTTTCCTTTTTGGTTTGTTGAAAATCATTCAATACACTAACATTTCTCCAATTCTCTAAAAGTGTGATTAACAGCCTGGGGTCAGACCTCTCCACTGGGTGCCAACATAAATCTGGGTGGTCACCAGATGAAGGAAAAACATCTGTTTATTCCATTTTTTAGAAACTTTTTCCATTTTCTCCAGTCAAATATTAGACACTTACCTCTCACTCTCAAACAGTGATCACACAGATGCCATCACCTTAATCTTAATAGGCCAAAAAGGCTGAGAACCACATTAGACTAGAGATTTAGCAATGTTTGTGTGCAACTGTTGCCTCAGACTTTGTTTGTTTGTTTTTTCATCCACAAACAGATGCCATTTTCGACTTAGGGTTGTGCTGTGCAGTGACTGACCTACCATTAGTAACCACAGACACTTATCCAGGACAAACACAGTGCAGCAGTGAAACTAAGTGACAACAAAAACCTACCAGCTGATTCTCCAGTGCTGATCCAGTCCGGGTTGGCGATGCTGGCGATGGCAAAGATGTCTGCAGCGAGGAAGAGACATCCTGAAATCACGGTGAGTTTATCCATGTCGGTGGACACAGGTGGAGGTCAGAGTGTTTGTGTGCCTCTGTCTCACCTGAGGGGAGGCGGGACATCTAGAAGTCAGCAGCCTAACCTAGAGCCAGCCAGCTAACTTATGATGATGAGGATGATGAAGATCCATGATTTGTCCGCACATGTTTGATCCTTGAAATATGCAGGCTGATCCTTCAAAACATCCCCTTTCATTTAGTCCTCCAGCAGCCGAGCCTGACCCGACCTGCTGGCCCTTCTCCAGCCCGGGAGGAGAGGGTCGCTTCCCGGGTTCATGGATCACTTACCTCCGGATGCTCCAACACATCCCGGTGACATGAGCAGAAAGCGGGGTGGAGAATTGGCTTTACTCGGTGATTAAACCTCCAGCAGTGAAAGCGTATTCATGCATGCAGTCGACTTGTTTCCTGAGTGTGCATGGAGCCCCCGAGCTCTCTCCCCCCAAATGGAAGCTTTCTCTTTCCTCTGGACGCACACAGACGGGAAACGCCGCCCATGCTCGCGATCAATGCGCCTCTCTGCAGCTCCAAACCTCCTCACTCAAATGCACTATATCGTCACTTTACCTCTTTAAAAAGCACATGAAACGCACAGCAAGGGTGCTTCATGCAAGGCGGTGCTGTCCTCTCACAGCAATGAGAACTAAAATTCAGGCAGCTCGCGTCTCCATGTCTGTTGCGGGCAAGTCTCGCGAGAAAATGTGGAAATAGCCGACGCTCCTGACCTGGTGCTTTTTGCATCACGGTAAATGATGCAAAGGATGACCATTTGACTGAGCACCTTTTGCAATGCAAATTACATCCCACACTCATGCAGTCACATTTGCAAAGTGGCACTCTTCTCTCCGAGACAAAACACTGAGGTTGCACAAAAAAATTTCCAAGGTCCACTTACTTGCCTTTGAGCTTTTGACTATATTACACGGTCTTCGCATCAGCAGATTGAGTTTGCTCACTTGCAGCTAGATGTTAAAACTTTGCATGATTTTGAACACTTCCCATCAAGGGTGTGCCTTTGGAAACTGGTTTCTTGAGGACAATGACTTAACTGTACTCCAATGGCCTCCAGTTGCCAGATCTCAATCCAATAGAGCACCTTTGGGATGTGGTGGAGCAGGAGATTCGCATCATGGATGTACAGCTAACAAATCTGCAGCAACTGTGTGATGCTATCATGTCAATATGGACCAAAATCTCTGAGGAATGTTTCCAGCATCTTGTTCAAGCTATGCCACCAAGAATGAAGGTAGTTCTGAAGGCAAAAGGGGTCCCACCTGGTACTAACAAGGTGTACCTAGAAATGTGGCTGGTTGAGTGTATATTTCAGGACTGGGGTAACCAAAAATAAATCCAGCAAATAATTAAGTTGCTCATTTTACTAATTTGTGCCATAATAGTGCTAAATATGGTAAATATGATACTCTTTTGGGGCATTTTCTAAGTATACCAGAGCAAAAATCAGCAGCTTAATTCAAATTCCAGCCAGAATCCAACGTTTGGCTTAAAAAGAACGTTTTAAGCCCAAGGTTTTTGTTAGAAAGAAAAAATAATTATGTTTTTGAAACACAAATGGGACTTTGAAAAATGGAAGTGGAAATTACACCTCAGCTTCTCATGCATATTGACTTTACAGTTCATTCTTATTTAGTTTTTTCAATCAAAACCTCCAGAAAAAGCATCTCAGCAGATCTAAAATTGTTTTTGTGAATTGGTTTTCATTTTCAAGCAAAAACTCAAATACTAAAGTATGACAGACATAAAACACCACAGCACAACACTTGAAACTCTGTAAGGTAGATAGAATTTATTCATTATTTTACATCAGCTATACAGTTAATGTGGACAGATGAGTGGAGCACGACACTGGGATGCGCCAGAGCAGCATCACCTGAAAATATGATGTTACAACACCGATAAATACCCAGTGGTGTTAAGACATTATATCCCTCAGAACAACCGCATCGATGACCTTTTTGTCAAAATGTAGAAGGACACAAATTCTGCTTTGCCATCAGTCAGGCACAGTACGAGGTGTCGAGGAGGGCTTTAGATCTCGTCCACGAAGGGTGTTTTTATGAGGTTGCCGCTGGACACCATGGTCTTCTTACCCGTCATGAACTTCTTGGCAGCCTGCAATTACACAAGAAAGTTGATGGTAACATTATTGACTGCACAACACAATTAAAGATGTAGTAAATCTGAACTAAATGTCTTACGTTGGAGACATCTGTCAGGGTGACGTTGTCAATCTTTTTGGAGATTTCCTCAGCGGGGCAGTAGGATCCTTCAGTCAGAGCCTGAGTGCCCATGGCCTCTAGCAAACCCTCTGATGTCTCCAGGGACATCAGGAACTCCCCCTTCAGCTGGACCCTGCAGAGGAAACAAACACAAGCTCATCATAAGATACAATAGTGCAAACTAAGAGGAAAACTTTCAATTTGATGTAAATAACAATGTAAAATTTAAAGTCATGTCTCTGTCTTGTCTGTCTGTCTGTCTTACTTACTTGGCCCGAGTGAGGTCAGCAGCTGTGACTCCACCATCAGCAACAGCCTTCACCTCAGCAACCGCAGCCTTGATCACCTGGAGAGACGTAAGAAGACAGAGCTTACATGTTTCACTGTTTCCAGTTTCATTGTTAAAAACTTGACTGCAGCTACTTTGTTGAACAGTTTGTGTCAATGAACGGACTCTTGTCATGACTAAGGGATACTCACATCACCAGCAACTCCTGGCTGGGAAATGGTGTAAACTCCAAACAGACCAGAGTCAGAGTAGCTTGAGTTGAAAGCGCTAACCTGTTCAGCCAAAAAAAGAAAAAAATGTTTTTACAGGTAGTGTTGAATGATGATTGATGCAAGACAAGGCCCCAGTGTATGAACAATTTTAGAAGTTTATTTTAGGAACTGACACCCACTCACATCAAAGGGGTCAGCAGTTGCCTTGGCAACACCCTGGACCAGTTTGCTGGTGGCGCATGAGCCCCTCTTGACATGCAGACCAGCTCCCAGTAAATGCTGCAGCACACTGAAGGCCAGGGCCTCGCCGGTGCCTGCTGCTGCTGACTGACTCACCACAGCTGAGTGGACCAGACTGCTGATGCAGGGCATACGAATCTCACCTAGAGACAAAAAAACAGGATGTGAATTTTTTCTTGACGTAATAAATCCCCCCCCCCAAATCATTGGTTCAGCTCACCTCCACGATACTGAGCCTTGGCCCCTGTGGTGCCTGCCCCACTGCGGATGTTGAGGAATTGCTCCCCAACTTGCTTCAGCACCGCATGGTCCACCCCTGAAGGAAAGACAAACGTCATACACTTAATGATGTTTCGGTCATTAAAGAAAACTAGGACTATGTTATAACTTGAAGCTGTATAAACACCCCAAGTTAAAACAATACTGCTGTCGTTATAAGGTTATTATATTAAAAGGTATAATGACCCATACCCAGTCCAACAAGAGCCATTCTTGCACTTGTGAAATTGTTCTGGACAAACTGGTGCAGCTGAAGACAAACACAAACATTACAAAAGGTTTAAATGGGTATATTAACTCCATAGGTCTTCAGAAATACACACTGAAACAATACTTACATGTCCGGAGTGGATGTTGCCAACCATGTGGTCAGGACAGTACAGGGAGTTACTTAGAGCGTTCTTGTAGGCAGCTTCATGCAGAGCTTCAATCACACCTGGAAAAGACAGAAAGAGACATGATAACAATGCAATATTCTGATGTTGAAACTAACAGTTAAGTTGTCTTCTTAACTGATAAATCACTCTAGCAGCCTGTATGGTGGACTCCAAAGAAACAGTGATTGGATTTGGTGCACCTGTCTAATACTAGGTATGTAACGATATATCGAATTTTGCGGTGTCGCGATAAAATAAATTCTCGATACCGTCGTGGGAATGCCACGGTAGTTATATAGCTGCATTCTCCTACAGAGCCGGTAATATGACTATGCGACTACATTCCCCATAATCCTTTGCATGCAACTGAACACGCAGGTGAGAGCAGACTCATGCAGCTCAGCCTCTCAGCCTCTCAGCCTCCAACTCAGACCCGTGCGTGACCGGAGGAAACAGCAAATAAAAGTAAGGAGATTGATTGTTCTTCTCTGTGGATTTTCTCTGCGACCGTTCGTCATACCGAGAAGCCACACATATCACATGAAACAGCGGAATCATGGCTTTCCGACAAGACCAAGACCACTTGTCGGTAGTCCAATGTTTTCACAGCGAAAAAAAATGATAAAGTTACACTAAAATAATGTAGGGAAATGGCTGGGCCTTATTTATTTTGGTTTTCTTTTACACACATCTCTACCCATCTCTCTCTCTCTCTCTCTCTCTCTCTATCTGTGAGTGAGGGATTGTGTTATTGAGTTAACATTATTTCTAATTTGTTAATTTTGTTGTTGTTGCAGGGTCTGATTGTTCTAAGTTCTGTATATTTGATGAATATTAAGACTACTCTATCCTCATAATTTGATGTCATTCAGATGACTTTCTAGTAATAGTACTACACCACCTTTGTTCAGAGTAGTTTAAAAAATACTGAATGTTTCCATTTTCATATTCTGTCACTATAGTTTTAATTGACATGACTTTGTTATGGCACTTCAATGTCTGCCTACCTAGCAGTAACAGGGGGGGGGGGATGAAAGCACATATTCAACTGTGTGTTGATTTGTTTATGATACGCTTCCAAGTTAAAAATAACATGCTGTACAGTGTACATACACTATTTTTAAATAAAATAGCTATTTTTAACAATAAATTTTCTCTATTTTCCCCCTTGTATAAATATCGTGATATATATCGTACCGTGGACTCTTTATCGTGATAATATCGTATCTTGAGTTTCTGGTATCGTTACATCCCTATCTAATACCACTGAAGTGGTGAATTCACAGCTCACAGCAGCTTCATATGACACAGTCACAAGCTTTTGTTTGATATCTAGTGTCTGAAAAAAAATGTTTTTGCACATTTCTGATCTGTCAATAGAGCAGTTAGCTTGTTTACTATATTACATGAATGCTGCTGTCACACTGAACGTGCCACTTCAAAACTTTATATGGCAAAAGAAAAAGGAATCTTTGAATATTTGTAATATACCAGCGAATCCAATTCAACTGATAATATTCTGGGTCGGGTACAGCCCTTGTTCTATGAACAACCAGTGCAGACATATAGATCTAAAGAAATAGTCTGTATGTGTACTGAAAGGGAAATAAATGCCCACCTATTTGAGTGCTCTTTGCAGCCTGGGCCTTGTCCATCTTCACTCGGGGCGTGAGATCTGACACCTCCCATGCCCGGAACTCTGGGGCTGTTGTCACGTTGATCAAATACTCCATTACTGTGTCACTGCAGGCAAATGACGAAAAAGGAGAAAAATGTGTTAAATATGTGCTGCTGAAACTGTGCCTCCTGCTGCATGAGCTGCCTCTCCACTGAACATCCTCTACATACCAGTGTTTGTTTCATGAAAATATAGTGTGAGAACCTGATTTCACATAATGTTGTTATCTTCATATTACTGACATTAATTCAAGCTCAAAAGTGTTTTACAACCATCTGTCTAGTCTAACAGATACTGAAAGCATGTCCTCTCCTTGTACTAGAAACAAGGGACATTGTTCATTTCTGACTCGTGCAGCATTAAACACAA